TTCTTTCCTTTTCACGAAATAAAAGATTGATTAGATGATTTTCTTATGCTTTAAGCTGGTTCTACGTTAGTCGTATCGCAGCGTCGCAAATGTTGCCATCCAATCAGACACTAGCTAGCTTGATGTTGATTGGACCGCAACACTTGCGACGCTGTGATGCGACTAATGTAGAACCAGCTTTATGCATTATGCGTTATACATACAAAAGTCTGTGCTCCAATGTAAAGTCCAAAATCAAGACAAAGTTTAAAACTAAAGTTTTAAACGTCTTATGTCCCGATTTTGAAGTTTGAACTTAGTGTTGTCTGGCGACACTGTTCTACAAACGCAACTTCCGAGAAAAAATAGCTACAACAAAATAAAACAGAAAATTCGCGAGTTAGAACATTAACTCTTTCAGATCTGATTTTAAAGGAACTATGTTAAAAATATTTTTTTCGTTTTTTAATTTAAGGGGTTAATAAATATAATAATTCATATTATTGTAAAAATTAGTTTCAAAATTGTGACTATTTTTCCATTGTTATATATACTACATCTAGTCTCAAAAGAGAAGGGACCTACGTATCTGATTTTTATAAGTTTTCCCTTAAAATATATAGCAATAAGGTACGTATAAAATAACACGTGTCTCTTTTCTTCTATAAACAACATATTAAAAGTTTCATCAAAATTAGACGAAGACACTTGGGTTTCTTCTCTTGTCAGATGATGTCGATAAAATTACACAATATATAAATTTTAATCGGTACTATCTTTAAATTTGATGTTGCAGCGTATACAGGATTTGAAGGAGTTAACAAAATGAAAAAGATACAATCTATCAAGATTTTTGTTAAATTTGCAAATCTAATGCGTTGTATTTACGCGAAATATTTGGGAGTTGTTTTTGGAAATTAAAGATGGAGCAATAAATCAGACTCTTAACCAAAATATCAAGCAAAGAAATAAAAAAAACAATTGAAATAATTAATGAAATTATTTTATGGTTTCACGCACACACGCACGCACACACACACACACATGCTTATGACTACCATTTTCGACTATAATGAAAAAGATATTATACGCTTCAAATTCAGTAAACTATCTTCTTCCAATTTATATACGTTTTCTTTTTAAATTTTCATGTTTTTTATGACTATGCTAACTATAAGCTTGAGTTTTTTATCAAACTGGATAAAGCAATAAAATCATGAATAAGGCAATACATAAGTAACACAAACGTACTAAATTTATGTATATGTTTTATTCAATTATACTGCAGTGACTGTGTCAACTTAATAGTATATGTTTAATATAAGATAGACACTGATAAAAAATAATTAGAAATTTTGTTAATGCGATTTGAAAAATCTTGAGATCATATTAGTTGAGAAGTTGATAGAAAACTAGTTTACCAAAAATCTGAAACATTATATACTGTGCGAAACAGAAATCGCTCTACACGTTGAAATATCGTCAAATATTAATGCAGGATTAATTATTTATTAATGTGTAATATTGTTTAATATAGGTCATTTAATTGTCATCAATGAATTTAATATTTTACTCAGTGTATACGAAGTACAATTACATACGTGCGATATATAATTAACGCTTTGATGATACAAATATATCGTCACTCCATCTGCGATTGCGTAATGAGAACGTTCTGAGAAACGTAATTACCATCAACGCTTTGCTGATGAATAATTTTTTATAGAACTATTTAATGTTTTTCAAATATATATTAACATATTTTACGTAATACGAGCAGAACGAGTTTCTCAACTGAGCGATGTTTACTCATATGCGGTGTACGCATGATAAGCAACGTTCTGTCAATTTATATATGTATATTTTAAGTATTAAGATTACATAAATCATAATGATGATACAGAATAACGCAACATAGTTCTGCAATCAAGAAGTGAATAAATTTAAATTTTAATGACTTTTCGAACATAATGATTTATCAATAGAAATCCCAAATCGTTTTCGGTTGCGTGTATGCACTTGCAGACGTTCAAATATCTTGAAACAACATATGGTGAACTTTACTCAGCATCTGACGTAGATGATGTTTTTGGAACGATAATAAGGATTACACAGAGCAAATGATTTTACTACAATGAAGTATTTACGACTGTAATTAGATATAGTTCTGAACATATTTTAATTGGACTATCAAAATAATTATGTACAATGCTCAAGCTGATTGCTGGATTATCAAAACTTTGTACAGCATTGCTTATCATACTTTTCTACATAAATGTTTTAATAGTCCAATAAATTATGGTCCAATTATTTTTTAGATCTATCAAAATTTTTTAAGACTTTCTTTCCTTATACGATGTATAAATTTCAAACTTTCACTTATGTTATTATTTTTTACATCGATGTTGTTTAAATTAAAACAATCCCATAGTGTAATCATTAACAATAATACACTGAAATGTGATAAACAAATTCATTTCATGAATTTTGCGAACAATCCAACATCATAACTTAAAAAACTCACCTTTGTACTTACCTGTAATTATTGTTCGATATTCCCACCGATTGTAATGCGATTAGATGCGATTAGACAATGCTGTCTAGACTATATAAAAAAACGCTATGTTATGATAAATTGTAAAGGCAACTTGTAAAGGTGACTATGCAATAATTTATTCTTTTTATTACATTTTATTACATTTTTATCTTCTTAGTATATCACTAAAGAGAAAATACAGAATTTTCATTTTCCTCCTTAATAAAAAATGAGAAAAGACATACAGATCTGCATGTCCATTTATAAAGTATATGCAGTTCCAATCATGCATTATTTCTTTTTAAAGCTTGCTTATTAATTTCTTTACAGTATTCCATAAATCTTAATTATTCTTGTAAACTTGGCTGCTTTACAGAGAAGTCGAATTTTTTCTTTGTCACTTTAGTGGGATTTTCACAAAGGCTGTATATACACATATTCCAGGGAATCACTCTCTGTCGAGTTATGCTTCATTTGCAAGTTACCTTTTTTTTTTTTCCATTTTTCGACATTTTTTAATATTCATATGTGTAAATTTTCTCGCCTCGACTCCTACCTATGGGGCTTAATTATACGCCTGTGAATACTTTTCGATCGACCAACGGTAAAATCGCAATAATGGGCATGCATCAACTCAAGTTTAACCGGACGAAATACGAATTGAATATTACGTACGTTAATCATGCATTGTATAAATTCAATGCGCATATGATAAATTAATACTAACCCTTTTACAATCATCGTGAAATAATTACTTTATAATAAACGTATAGTGAGAAATGTTGAGAAAGATATAAGATATGGATACATATTTTAAATATAAATTAGAGACAATTATAGCTTAACAAAAAATATAATAATATATTTTTTTACATGTTATCAAGCACATTATATATAAATTGATTAAAAGAATAAATTACAAACAGTGATTCGAAAATATTATTATTAATAATGGGATTTCAAAATAATCTTCGCAGTTAACGTAGAACTTACATTTACATATACCATAAGTAAATAGAATAGATTGCACTTTGGACGAAGAAACGCGAAGACATGAAATATACTAAAGATTTCGAACGATTGCAATACAGAAACGGATTGTCAAAACCAAAATTCCAATTGTATGATTAACTGGAATTAACTGTTATATTCATATGCTTATATATAAAGGCATGCTCGTTATTACCCAGACAGCACAAGACATCCATTGGATATCCAGACTTGGTTTCAATCTGATCCAAACATCCATGAACTTAGTACGAATGTTTTAAAAACGTACGTTATTCAACGTACAAAGTATGTTTACATTTGGACATTTAAAAAATGTTTATCTCACGCAAAAAATTTTCCAAGTCTTTTCGCGACGTGTTGCTTTTGCTGATTTGATAAGTGAAAATATTTTTAACATCGCACGAGAAGTTTTACTTTTGTTATCTCCAGTAACAAAAATTTACTAAATTAAAGCTTAGTTCAGACAGCACACAGCAAGGCTGCGTTCGGAAATATCACCCAGGTTTCCCTGAGTATCATCTTATCCTTGTTGTTCATCCAATGTTAAAGAAGAGTAACACGATACTCAGGGGTACTCGGGTGATATTTCCGAACGCAGCCCAAGCGGCAAACGTCGAGCAGCAATAGCTTGCTGCTTGTAGTGATAAGAGTTTGGAATCTTTTGCTTCCAGCATGTAATCAGAGGCCAGTGGAAAGTAGAGTCCCTGTAAAAAATCAAAGTCTGGCCTTGCCCTAAAAATGGCGTGCGTGTCCAAAATGTATGTTTGCTCTCGATAATCATTTTATCTAGATTGTGATCTATAATAAAATGTTTAATATATTGATTTAGTCTAATTTTAGTTATTTAGTTCATTGCGTTTTACAATGGACGTTTTTAAGAAATTCAGAATAGTAACACTAAATGTTTCCAAAACGTTCAACATGTACATATATTTTAAATACATATACATACATTTTTGAAACGTTACTGTGTGCTGTTTGGATATCAATGATCGGTCAAATTAAAGTTCTTTAATTATTTTCAAATATCCATTACTAAATATCCATTACTTGTGTTACTTACCATAAAATTTAAAATGTTATAATATATAATATTTATAACTATTTATTATTATTTAATCATTAGAGAGTGGAAGTTACTCATATTATATAGTTTACTTGATTATAGTGGCTCGATCTCATAAAGGATTTCAAATATTTAACAATTGTCAATTATAAAGATATTTAAAAATTTAGTATTGCTAGTAATTAGTTTAATAAATGTTCTCATTAATAATTTGTCTATAAAAGTGTCTTCGTTAATTTTCAGGCAATTTTATCTCGAATAATTTTATCTCTGACAGAAATATTATTAAAATTTAATGTGAGAAAATAAATAAAGTAAGTAAGATGATATTTTGATTAAAAAAGAAAATTAGTTTATTAAAAAATTATATTTTATACATCACAATATTCTATATTGAAAGGATTGTTTCCATACAGTTCTACATAATGTCAGCCGATTAAATTACATAAGCTCGGAGTTACATTGACTACGTGCACTACGACTTTTAATTCTAATATGCCGAAATCAACAAAACGAAGCATTTTATTTTGTAATTCTCGATGGTACTTCGAAGCATATAATTCTGTCAGTTCCTTCTCGCAATGCGTAACGTACGGTTACTGGAATCTGTAAGCAAAGTTATAATAAACATTTGTGGCAACAGATTGAAGTCAAGTTACGAAAGAAACAAATTGCGCATAATTAAAGGGAAGAGATGTATTATCATCGTTCAGTTATTCTTAAACCGGTATCGGACTAAAGATTGAAATTAGATTGGAATTTGACCAATTACAACAAAGTTACCTAACTCGATGTTGATTTTCTTTTTTCTAATTGGTTAATTTCCAATTTGTGGTCTCAATCTCAAATTAACGTTGTATATTATATTGTATATTATATGCTGTCTTATTATACATATATATTTAATTATTAATAAATATGCGCAATTATGAGTCTTTTTTTAAATTTTCATAGTTTACAAGATTACCCTGGGATATATTGATAGAATAGGGAAACTGTTTTTATACATATACTGTTCGCCTTTCTTCAAGGGACAACCGACAGCTTTACCATCAGCGTCGTAAATATTATCACAAGCATTTGTTCCATCAACGCCTACAAATGGTAGAGGCACACTAGCAAGAATCCCGTTCACATTATTAGTCACACTCTGAATATCTCTGTTAGGCACAAGTTTCATTTCTATGGTGATAGTCGTTCCCTGTTTTAACGAACACTCAGGCTTGTCGCAGCCGGATATACTGATCTGATTGGCATCTTCGAATGGGACGTCTAAAATCATAAATCATAAATCGTTATTCGATCAATATATGGATATAATTTATACCTGTTGAGTCTTCACATAGTTTGATTTCAAATTATTCGATTACGTAAATCACATTAATTAAACGTGATTATTTTATTCACAAAAGACAATTTAATTTGACGTTAAAGTAATATTTCGCATGCTCTTTGTTTGAGGAATATACATATAGACACATTTTATGTAAAAAATATAAAGGATGAACGAGAACAAAAAATTGTACGGTTTTTATAAAGTTGATTGCCTTGAAATATTTTATCTTCAGCGAGAGTCCCAGTGCAGTATTTGAGAATGTAAAGTAAGAGAGAATGAATAATAAAGAATATATAAAGACGAACGTATCGTATAGTTATCGTACGATATCTATTCGCACTAATATAGATATTCTTAAAAATTTTTTTTAATTTATTAGACATCGATATTAATAGATTTTTACTAGAGTGCTAGATTAATTCATCTCATAAAAGCAGACAATTACACATCAATCAATAACTCGGCATTAATAATAAATTCTCTTTAAGTCTTCAATTTGAAAAGCATGTCGTAAGAAAAAAAAAACAATATAAGTTTATTCCGATTGAAAGATGATGACACGTTTGCTTTTTATGATTATGATTGATCCGTCATGATCTTGAAGGTTACTGCTAAAATGACTAGACAGCTGGTCAGTAAGAAATTCTAGACAATAAGACGAATGTAAATTGTACTCATACAAACATGACTGTGTGATTTTAATTTTTCTTGTGTATTCTTTATAAAAATGATCTTTTTGAGAATATATAATTTTTTTTTAATCATGTACACTTACATTGTTGCAATGCAACAATCCATTTAAGCATACAATGAATCGAACACACACACACACACATACAGAGAAATAAATATTTCAGCTGAAAAAAATAATTCAATAAATATATTTTACGAGTATAAAATATACGTCCACGTTGAAAATGTGCAAAATGAACGCAAAATGAACGTGTTATCAGCATGCGTAATTGTCGTATTTAGTATCAGTAACATAATATCTTTAGTCTAACTTCTTTAAAGAAACTACAGTTTTAACGGTGTATTCACAAATCGATCTATCTATATTATGTTCTTTCCTGTTATTTTGTTTACTATACTTCGAACGTACAGAAGAGACTTTGTTTATGTACTTGTACACGCGCAAATCATAATATTTATTTTTTATTTTAAAATCAACGCAAAATTTTAAACTACACTAACTACAATTTAAACTACATAAAACTAACATAACTGTACGATGCAAAATTTCTAATTTAGCATTGAAATTCTAACGGTAAAACAAATCAATTGTAAATTAACGTATAAGTTAGTATTCCACTCACTTTCACCATGTGTCAATTATATTTCTTGTAAGCAATTATATAGGTATTAATAATAAAACTATACTTGTTGGCTCGTTCACATATCTTTAATAATTAGGAGTCATTAAGCGCAACATTATTATTTGACAATAAAATTATGGGAACACTAATTATAGTTTCTACCACGAGTATGAGAAGCAATCTTCGATAAAATTATTTGATGTTTCACTCGTATAATAAATTTAAAAATAATTTTTTCTCATAACTCAATGAAAAAAAAATTTTATTTCCAGCATCAACTATTTATCGTATAATTACGAATAATACATTTCTGCTGAGAAATACTTGTAAGATCTTTGAAAGAATAATAAGATAAAATTATACGTCCAATATTACATAGTATACAATATGTCACAACAAAAATTTAAATATCGAAAATATATTGCAACAGTCCCTCATTTCCATCAGAATATTCTAAAGTACATATATGATAAAACTTTGCCAGTATATTCTGTAGAAAAATTATACGTTAAGTAAGAGTTAAATTATGGAAAAAATTTTAACATTTAAATAAATAATATTATATAAAAAATATTTTTATTGCTAATGAATCAGTAACGAGAAATCTAAAAATACTATTAAAAATAAAAACAAGATGTCTAATTTAGCTTGGAATGTACAATACAATATCATGGTATGTGTCTATTGATAAGATATATTGTATTTTAGTTTGCCTATCCTTGACAACGAACTATGACCAGATTCTTTCATTTTTATTCTTACTTTTATCCCTATGTTGATTTTTGTAAAGAATTTTCATGAAACATATAATCCTAACGATAAACCATATTTAATTTTTTATAAAGTTTTTAAGAAATAAAGGATTATTTGTTCTTCTTGGAAACTTTAAATAAAAATATTCACCTATAATACTTAATATACAGTTATAACATTTTTAAAAATGCAAGTAAAAAAATCGGTAAACTTTGACCAAATGTTTTAGAACATTCTGTATAATAAATTTTGACGCAATGCAACGTCGAGAAAGTTTCATGAAGATACTTAATGATATCGACGAATCCTTTCACGTAAAGAGAAGCAGTTTTAATTTTAAATAAGTAACTGAGATCTCTGTAACTTTTCCAGTAACATTAAAAGACGATCATAACTCTTAGTACATTAAAAGTAAATTTGATAATTATTTCCGCAAATCTTTTAAATAACGCTTTACTGAAAATTTTGTTTTGCGCATATTTAAAATGACAATATTATTATTGATAATTTAGTTATAATCTAGCAAATTTTCGTTTGTCAACTCGTCGGTATATTTACGTAACTACGGTACTACATGAATAAATAAGTTATCTTACATAATTATATAGGAAAAGCAATGAATATTATTGCAGAAATGTTTCGCATTTTAAACGTAATTTATTAAAAACTAAAAACTGTGTTTCAATATGTTAATGTATTTTTATAATATTTATACATTTGTATTTAACTTACCAGAGTCGCAGTGATTGACTATCGTGGCATTGGCAAACAGAATGAGCGCCGCGAAAACGAGAATCGTTTCCCTCAGCATCCCGGTGAAAGTGTTTCTACTTTTCCGTTCAAAAAACCTCGTCAGAGGTGATGTGGGTCTGATCAGACCCAACTCCGGCTCTCGACTGACGACTGTAACTCGAACGCGATCACAGGTGCCTATACCGTTGCGCCGTATAAAAACTCCTGCTTACGTATGGATTCACACAGCGCACGACATCCGACGTACGACGTTCAATATCCAATAGAATTTGTTTTCTAAAGACAAAAATGTTACTGACTAAAACCGAATTATTTTATTGAATATCACATCATCGTCATCGGATATCGTATGAATCTATTAGGTATTATCATAAAGAAAAGGGATAAGGAAACAAAATTATCAAAGTTTGCATATTCATTTCAAAACAGTGTATGTTTTTATAAAGTCTCACTGTGAAAAAGTTTTTTTAGATCTATATTCATATTAAAGCTTAATCAAAGGAATTAATAAAAAAAATAAAAACACAGAATAATATGATCTCATACATAAATTAAATAAATAGTAAACAGGTTAATTATAAGTGAGTTTACTTATAACCATTATTAATATAAGGAATCTATTATAACTAAAAATAAATGTTTCTAAAATTTTATTAACAGAGGTAATACGTATTAATGTAACACATTTTTCTCTTATTAATATAACATATTATTTATATTATTATTATTCAATAAATTATTGTAAATTATTGTTATTATTAAATAATAATATATTGATTTTGTTTAAGTTTCCTTATTTTGTTATTTATTTACATTATTTATTTATTTTCTTATTTATTTTTACATACACGTATGATATTTATAATAGTTTTGGTTATACAATGTAATATTTGATAAAGACATTCACTTTGTAACAGAGATAAATATTGACTTATAATGAAGATTACTATCGCTAATAAGTTTATTTTATTAGTCGTTTGATAAATTTATTATATTAGTTATTAACATTCACATATATATAGTTAAAAAAATATTTAATCTTACTAACTTGTGAAAAAAACAATGTTATGAAAAGTCTGTTTTAATAATAATTAAGTATATTAACAAAAAGGCTCGGAACAAATAAATGACTATAATTTGATGAAAGTCTGTTTTGGTTGTACTCGTAAAAATTATTTGTTGTAGACTTCGAAGCGAGGATGGTGTTAATTAAAATTATATCACTAACGAAAACGTATAGAAGATTAAAATCGGAAGAACGCTTATTGGTGTTACAATTATTTGCGAGACAGGTTATATGTATCATGATAAACAGTATGATACATCATGTTTTGATATTAAAAATATAGAATAATATGTAAAAATGCTATACTAGGATTGCTCCAAAAGTTTCCACAAAATCATGCGATAATCTTCTCGTGATAAATTCGTTTTCTTCCGAAAGCGATTTAACTTTGAATATGTCTCATGGTAAACGAATGAATGTTGATGCGTCAAAGGCAAAAGTGCCATTAAAAGATAAAATAAAGTTACATATCAACAGTTTTAATGTAACACGACGCCTAATACCATCTTACGGAAACTTTCAGAGCAATCTACGTATTTAATTAATAGCGAAAACATCAGATGTAACACAAAGTTTTTGAGTTCTTGAAAGAATATGTTGGAAGCAACAATGGATACAATATTTTTAATAAATTCCATTTTTTTTTAAGTACATGATATAATAAGAGTGACGCTTTAAAAAGAACACGTTGATAGCTGATTAATATTTATAGGATTTTTTTTTAAGTTTTACTCGCACACGCGAGCAACATACACAATTTATCTTCATTCTTCTTATTCTTGTTTTTCAAATATCTTTGGCATAATTTTAAAGTTATTAAAATTAGATTACACTATAAAAATAACGCGTACAATATAGCATAATATTTACAAAATTTTTTCAATTTTTATTTAAGACGTTTTTTAAGAAACCAGATTTTATACAACCATTTTATACATTAAATGTATTTTAAGATATTATGATTTATATTCTAGAATTAATTATCGATTCTTACATTAAATGCGTACAATAAATAATTCAACAATCATAGGTATGCATACGAACGTTCCGTGCTTTAATCGTAACAGCGACCGCTCTTCATAATGTTTGGTATCTCCTTTTTTCTGACTTCGTTTACCTCGGCACAACGAAACGGAAATGAAACGAACTACCATGGTCACAAGAACAAAGCACCGGAAATTAAGAATCTTTGTCTACCATTTCGTCCCTTTCCTTCTTTCTCTTTCCCTCTCTTTCTCTGCGGCTGGACAAGTCTCCTTATTTTCAATAGTAAACGGAGATCTCGATTAACTCCCGTAAACCGCATACTCTTCAAATTACTGCCATGTTGATATCATATCGAACAATGTATTTCGTCGAAATTAGACACGGCTGAAACGAGAAAGTCCGACATAAAATCACACGAACTCGCTCGCATACGCTTTGTTTGATAATCGGACAATAACAACACCGCTTCTCTTTTTGTTTTTCTGCAGTGTATAATGTGATATCGGTGATATAAGGATAATCACAATCGGAATTTTCAGATTAAGACTCTGTTGAATTGCTCAATTTATGCTCGTGAATTTATCATATCAGGGATACATGGACTTTATAATGTATCTATTCTTGAAAGAATCCGCTCCACAAAAAATAATAATTGAATATGCAAATCTGTCTCACGGTCGATGTCTGATGACTCATGAGAAACTTTCAATGGTAAAACAGCTCTCTTATACGTCAGACAGACCAATCAAATACTACCGTGATCCGCAATGTTATTTTGTATCATATGTATTATACGTAGTATGTTCTGCGAGATGGAAGTACAACGTTGGTCAATGTGCGGTGTTACTGCGAATTATCTTGTCAAGCTGACAGAATGATCAGAGTGAGTCAGAACAGTTATGAAACTTTTTTAGAATTGTTCCTGCGTGATGATAAACGTTTTTATCTCTTTTATTAGTTGATCAAAAGTTAAAAAATCTGTACTTTTTTTACTTTCTAGTAATCTTTATCTGTGATTTGCTTTATTTCGAAGATAGACTGTATCAGAAGATTAAACAGTTTAAAACAGATGGATTCAGCTAAAGGACATATTTTATATATAGAAAAGATCGCATTAATTGTAAAAAAAAAGAACATTTGCAGTCAGTGCATGAAAAATTGTCTTGTTGCAAATAAAAAACTCGTCCGTTTTAAAATTCGTTCCGATATGATGTAAATGCGGAAGAAATACATTCCGGTATTAATACTGACGTCAACGAAGGTCATGTACAAATGGTCGGAATTTCGAATTTTAAATTCCAGACGAACACCAAGTGCAATGGTTAAGGTAGAAATCTAAAGAGAATACTAATTATAGCGGCAGTAACCTTGAGTTGAAGAAAGAGTTCCTGTTGATTCTTTTGATCTGAATTATAAATTGCTACACAAGTTTTTTTTAGAAATAAATTGTATTTGAAAACTATAAATATACCATAATTTCTTATTTTCTTTTTGAATTGAAATTTAATTTTCAATTGAACTTATCCTGATGATAATCAGATTTTTATCCGAAAATGTTGAAATTGTTTGTTCTGACAAATGAAAATATATCTCATTTACATAATTTTATTTGTTTATTTCATCGAATCATTTGTTGATTTTTAAAAAACCGTAAACTTTACAAATACATGTCAAGAAATGCATAATTAATGTTGCGTAATTAATGACTGTAAATGTTAATTTGCTGGTTTGGTAATTTGAAAATTTGTACTAAATTTTATACACAAGCAATGTTTTGTTTATCACAAAATCTGTTTCAATTGCAAAATAATTATAAATCCTGTCACTATAAAATTTTAAGGATGGTAAATACCAGCACGTGTTTATCAGAGCATAATTATGAAAATGCTGCAGATTATTGAAAAACATAACTTAAAAGAGTATAATATTAATTTGATTAAATGTCAGTATTAATAACTTTCCACTTATTTTTATGTGCAATAATTATGACTAATTTTAATTATTAGTATCCTGAAATAAATTTAAATTATGTAATTTACATTAACTTGTATAAGAAAAATTTACATTAATTATATATAATATAATGACAACAATTAGTAATTAATAAAAAATAAATTTTATTACATTGTTTCTTTCAACAATATGTAGAAGTATATCGTATTCGCATAACTTTATTATAAAATAACAATTGTGTGATATTAAAGGCAATAAGAGTCAACAAGTAAGTGACATTTGAAAATTAAATTATAATAAACATTAATAAATACTAAATAACAAATTTAATAAAGCTAATAAATAAAATACATATGCTTATTACATGTTTCGGCTTTAAGTTTAAGTCCTCTTCAGATATAATACAAAAAAAAACAAGTGTATGCAGTGAAGATACTAATAATGTATCGCAAGATACAATATCTCATAGATATAATACACATTTTTTTGTATTATATCTGAAGAGGACTTAAACTTAAAGCCAAAACATGTAAAAAGCATATATGTATATTTTATTTGTTAGCTTTATTAAATTTGTTATTTAGTATTTATTAATGTTTATTATAATTTAGTTTTCAAATGTCATTTACTTGTTGACCCTTATCGCCTTTAATATCACACAATTGTTATTTTTTTTATATTGAGGGTCTTTTATTTTCTTATTTAATTTTAACTTTATTATCTTATTTGTCTTCAGTTTTGTAATATGATTTTAATTTCAGAATAAAAATTCATTATTTGTCTAAGCATTATAATTAATTTTTTTCATTTTAATAATGCGATGTTATTTTACATTATACAATTGCATGACTCTCACATTGCAGCAGTATTATCATGTCGCCTGCATTATCAAGAATAGAATTCTATTTTATCATTTACAGGTATGTTATCTTTCGTTTAAAATAGAAAAACATAGTTTAAGACATTTAAAATTTAATTGCACTTAACACAAAAAGTGTGGAAACATTTTCATATATTTAAATCACGTGTGAAATATTATGAGATATGATATGTACAGAGAAACGATAATCGATGAAATATAATAATAAATAAATATTATATACGCAATTACAATTTTTAAGTATTTACAGCCAAGTATAAAAGGTATCATATTCATTTCAAAACTTTATATTTTGAATCGGCACGTATTTTAATTGGCATACATGCCAACGATTTCAATTTGAAATACATAAATTGTTTCTTAAAGTTATAACATTAAAAGTAAAAATTTTATTTACACAATTATCTAATCACATACAATCCTGTGGATAACTTCGTAATTTGTAAAGTACATTATTCTTGCATTTTTTCTAAATAAAAAGTGACAAAATTTCCACGCTATGTAGAGAGCATTTGTCAGAAATTGTATGCCTAAATTACAATTGTTACTACAATTTAAGAAAAATTACAGTAACGCAAAGAAGAATCAAATTTCCTTACGTTACAAAGTCATCCGTGCGGATCCTATACAATAATTTTTATAATCCTGCTGTAGTTCCTTGTCGACGATAATCCGAGTTTGCTGTTATAAATCCATTTTCTTTGGATATAGCCGTAATCGCACTACCAATTCCGCTGAAAGTGGTGATGTTGTGTCCGATCTTTTTTAAATAATCTAAGGTGACTTGGCAAAAATTTTTCTCATTTTGGATATTCATCGGCAGCAGCTGCAATTGTTTAATAGTTTCCTCAAATATCATCAATAAATATATATAATAATAGCGTTTCCCATTTAATGGTTTACATTTAACGTTTGATAAATGAAGTTTATTCATTTGTCTGATTACATATTAATAAAATTTCTTACATAATAAAAGCTATTAAATAATTTTTCCAGGAAAAAATATATCGAAGCATATGCATAGTGTGTGTGAATTATAATATAATTGATTATACAAGAAAAATTTGTAGTAAATACAAATTATGATAAAATTTTTAATCTATCTTTTATCTTCAATTAATTAAATAATAATTATAAAAATATATTTGAATAACAATTTTACTAAAACCATCCTTTATCAATATGTTCTTTAAAAATCTTTCCTATTTTTTGTTTTAAATGATTTTAACATATAAAATTTAATAATTTTTAAAATAATAATTCAGAGATATATTTTAGTTACAATTTTTTAAACTATCATTAGGAAATTAAAAGACGAATTAATTGTAATGGCACAAAGAAAACTTTGTTTTCAATTATAGAATTACTTTTCCAAATTTAAATGTTCATATTATAGCTCATACTCACTTGATGATGAAGCCTCCGCGCATCAATCGCTTCTTTTATGTCGTAATCATACCAGAGATTCAAGAGCATTCCAATCGCCACGCCACTCGTGATCTTCGTGCCACCGGCTGCACCAATCACTAATCGTACGTCGCCCTTGTGATCTACCTAACAGATCGTATGATTGAATCAAATAAATTTGAATTAACCGTCCAAGACTGGTGTCTCATTCATTTCAGTCCTTTAAAAACATTTTGCAAAAATTCAAATTTTTTCACAAATATATTGATTGAATTACATGAGAAATATTATGAGATAGACCTACAAAAGACTGTGTGATTAAATGAACTTGAATTAATCGTTCAAGACTGGTATATATTATATATATATCTCTCTCTCAATTCCTTCAAGATTATTTTGAAAAAGCATTTAAAAAGGCTTTTACACAGATATATCGAATTGCATGAGAAATAACATTGTGGCGAGATTTCACGCAGCGCAGAGAATCGCTTCGGACGATCGCGTGACGATTGCGAATTGCAATTACATCATTGAGCCGAGCAATTCTCGGAATCGATGGTTATCTGGCGATGGTTAATTGCAAACTCGTTGTAGCCGTTTCATTAGACGCGTTTTCCAACCGTTCACGAGACGCGCACCAAACGCGCGACTGTTTTGTTACATGTTATTCACCGAGTTTCGAGCTCCCGAGCGAATTTGTCGACGGTCACGTTCGCGGTGAAATGGCTTACCACTATAGACGGGCACATCGAACTCAACGGCCGTTTACCAGGCCGAATAAAATTCGCCGGTGACGGCGGTAGCCCGAAGCCGTTGGTGATGTTAGGTGAACTGAAGTCATCCATCTCATCGTTAAATATTATACCGGTGGATTCTGAGCGTATCACCGCACCTAACCTGTTAAATAAAAATATTTATAAAGAGCACGAAGAATCTTACGTCTTATACACCCCAAGATTTTTATAGTAGTCTGTGTTTGCCGAACACGCACTGAATCGTTTCATTTTTAAAGGATAGATAGAAGTCGCACTTTCAGGAATGAACAACGTATTTCAGGAGCGAAGCGATTCAATCGATTTCTTTCTCCTTGTTTTTTAACTCGTTAATACGTGAAAATAGTATTATAGTAAAGCAATCAAATTTTTGTTAGAAACGAATCGGTATCGTGAAATAGAAAGTATGATATTTTTATTCTAAAACATTATGTATTTACTGAAAAAAAAAACTTAAAATTGTATTTATGGAACATATTTTTTTCACTAAAATAAAGTCTTTTGTTTCAATATAAAATAAAATTTTATTTCGAGCAAATAAACCATCTATTTTATTTTTGTACAATTAGTGAAATATATTTCATAGAAGTGTATATTTTGTCATCACAGTCAAATTTTTTTATAAACAATAAATATTAAAGAAAACATCATAAAATTTACTTGTGAATATTTCGATTTGTTTCTCAATGCGCTTGACACTTTACAAATGGATTGTTATATTTATTCGAATATTTAATATTCGAATATTATTATACAATTTAAACAGCCAAATTTCAAAAGAAAAAGAAGTCTTTTAATCTGAGCTGAGTTAATTTTACACAAGTTAATTGTATACAAGATATCTCGCGAGACTTCTCCAATCTCGCACAGGAAGGTAGATAGGATCAAAATAAATACAGAAGTCCTATACTGACTGCATATAACGATTCTCGCAATATTAATATAGATATTAATTTTTGAAATTGTGTACTAATGAGAGCGCATTTTGAGAAACGCTCCACCAGACTTTTCCACCAGTTAGAGTAAAGCAATCGATGATTGCTTTACTCTGATTGGCTGAAAAGTAAATCTCAATCGTCAATCATAACCGCGCAATCGCTAGTGTGATTGCTTAACGCGTTGCGAACATAGCCTATGTTTGAAAAAATGGGCCGAGCCTCCCAGATAGCACAGTAATGTTTAAAAAATGTATTTAAACCGTACATGTTGGACGTTTGGACATATTAAAAACATTCAGATTAGATCCATGGATATTTAAAAAATGTTTTAAGAATATCCAGTGTTACCATTTTGGACTTCTTAAAAACGTCCATTTTAGGATGTAATGGACTAAAACTGGACTAAATTAATATATTAAACAAATTTTAGACCACAATCCAGACAAATTTGCACACTGAAAACAAAATGATTCTTAATTTTTATCATTGCGAGCAGCAAGCTATTGTTGCTTGTCGCTTGTTGCGTATCTGAATTAAGCTTTAATTTAATAAATTTTCGTGTTACCGGAGGTAACAAAAGTAAAACTCCTCGTGTGATCTTAAAAAAATGTTCACTTCGCAAGTCAACGAAAGCAATACGTCACGAGCAGACTTAGAAAATTTTTTGCATGAGATAAACATTTTTTAAATGTTCAAATGTAAACATACTTTATACGTTGAATAACGTATGTTTTTAAAACATTCGTACTAAATCCATGGACGTATGGACTTGAAACCAAGTCTGGATGTCCAATGGATGTTCTGTGCTGTCTGGGCTATACCTCATGCGGCCGGAGCGTTTCTCAAAACGCGCTCTCATTAGTACACAATTTCAAAAATTAATATCTATATTAATATTGCGAGATTCGCTAAACAGTATAGGACTTCTGTACTTATTTCGATCCTATCTACCTTCTTGTGTGAGATTGGAGAAATCTCGTGAGACACCCCATATAAATTAACTCACGATTTAATAATTCCATTAAAGTACTTTGTCACTCGCAAATTTACTTACACCTGGTTGATGGTCGATGTAACAGAGACAGCAGAACCGTCGGGGGCGAGGACGGAAACATGTGCGGTTCCTGCATCCTCGAGTGTTGCGGTGATGGCGCCGTATTCTGTTGGATCTTGACTCGTGCGATCATCCTTAATCCTCTTTTTTATCATTTCTGCGTAATCGTTTGACGTTAAATTGGTAATCAGCTCATCTAATAAAGAAATAATTATTGCATTGTATTAAATGCTTCGTAATTGGCGGATGGAAAATTCGAAGAACATATTAGAGAAAATCATGCTGGAACACACACACACACACACATACACACACACACACACATACAGAGAGAGAGAAATTACTGGTCTTTCAAACAGCAGGTTATATCAAATGCGTTATGTAATGATACACCGATTAATGATTATATTGGAAACATTTGATGCTACGATTCTCAGAAAAAAAAATATACATATAGATACATCGCGATATTAAAGAGAATAATACGTAATGATATACATATTTAAAGTAATATGAAAAACTCTTTTCTCTCTCTCTCTTCCTCTTTTCTTGTGGTTAATTTACATATACTTATCATGACATATATTGATATCAGCGTGAGAAAAAACTCATTTTTATCAATAAAAAAGATTTTTGATGCATTAATAATATTCAAAATGTTTTAACTTTTAAAAAAGCGTAACATTTTCTATTAATATTTCTATCAATGTTATATGTATGATTAGCATTCTCTTAAGGACCTTGTACAATAAACTAAGCAGATTGTTATCGTTTATCATTTGCATATAGAACTTTTTAGAGCGTTATCTGACTATATTGCTTTTTAAATAGACTTTTATATATAACATTACTATATCATATATAATTTTTCAAGACACATTATCAAGAAATTATGTTAAAGTGTTACTCATTACGTATCCATGGTCTTACCCATGCCGTCTACAAATTCAGGATCTCCCAGCTCTGTTCGTCTTGCGTAAGCCCACTTGAAGGTCTCCACTATACGTTGCCACATTATGTTCTCATCACGGACCGGTAGCAACCGACGAAGGACGTTCATTATAAACGTTAGAATTGCGCCTGAACCTGGCGGCGGAGCACTGTAAATTGTCAGGTTCCCCATTTTCAATGCAACCGGCTTTCTCCATATGGCTCTGCAAAGTAGTCATGCATTATCAATATGCTATTATAACTCTCACAACTATACTATGTTAGGTATTAAAAGAGCAATATTACAGTAATCTAATTCCTTGAATTAAATAATATTTTGCCATTTTAAACTTCAATATGTGTACTATAAGAAAATATACTTAATTTTAATATTTGTTTGAATAGTTTCAAGTAAATATTTATTATCTGTAAACATATATTTATTTCATATAAAAAATGTTAATTTGATTTAACTATATATCATAGTTTTATAGAGTAAATATTTATTTACTCTCTCTAGGTAAATATTTACTTAATACTATTTTCGAGAGATATATATTAAGATTTAATAATTTTTTTTTCAATGTGTCAAAATGTAAATTAATCTGTTTCTGTGATTAATTTAAAAATAAATAACGTTTTATATTAACATATACATTGAATAAACAATTGACTAAATTTAAGTCGCAAATTTAATATATTTTTTTTTAGTTCAATTATTTATCTTCATTATTTTAGTTAAATTAGCGAAATTAAGTAGGAACAATAGTGCGACCTGTAGAATGATTAAAAATAACTCAAATTGAATATAAGTAATTTGATATTATGAATTTAACAGTTTTCTCAATAGCATGTTTTCTTATGGTATTGTCCTAGTTCAATAATATTTGTCACATTTAATCTCGTATTTATATCATTTATTGTCATTAAGTAAGCAATCAACTTATTAAAAAAAAAATGCTTATAACAAAGTGTAATCGAGAAAAGAACACAATTTAATGTTTTCTTTAATATAAGTAGTTTTAGTCGAATCATTATTAAATCAATATCTAATCTGCTGTTACATTTTTTATCAGCCCTTAATTGGCTCTAAATATTGCGATTGAAAAATTTTGTTACTATTTTATTTCATTATTTTAATATTAATGAAATAATTAGGTATGAATGAATATAATTGTTAATATAACATTAAACATTATTATATTAACAATCTGATATTCTGATTTTTTAATATGTAATTTAAAAAATAAATTTGTCATTAAGTTTTTTCAGTAAGTTTTCTATTAATATTCTTAATAATAATTAATTAAAAAGTATAAGATAATCAAATTATCATAAACTTATGAATTATAGACTCTTTTAATTAATACAAAAAGACGAGAGAAAATAATGTAATATACAAGACCATAGGAGTCAACCACAGGTTGTTTATATTAGGAAAAATAATTTAACAAACAATATGTGAAATAAATTTGTACGTTTTTGCAGTTTGAGTCATCTTTAGCATTAAACTAAAAAATGATATTACTTCAACAATTGAGATACTGCATCGTAATCATAATATCTTCATTCTTTCAATCTGTGCATGACCATCGTGGAACAGTTATGAGGCAAGAGTAATTTGTTCAACATAGTTACAATACTGAGTTTTTTTTACATGGATGAAGTTGTATTTATTGTGCGATTTGCGATGTTTTTACTATTTGTGTGTGACTTCTTTGGCCTGATGATTTTGAGTTATTTTATTGCAATTTAGCGTTGTAACTGTGTTGAAAAACTTATTCTTGCCTCACATAACTGTTCCACGATGGCCACGCACAGATTGAAAAAAATAAAGATATTGTGATAGCGTATCTTAATTATTGCAGTAACATCATTTTTAGTTTAATGTTAAAAATGATTCAAACTAGAACAGAAACGTACAAATTTATTTAATATATCGACTGGTAAATTGTTTTTCGCAACATGAACAACCTGCGGTTGACTCCTATATGGCCTTGTATATTACAATACACTATTTTCTTGTCTTATCGTATTAATATCATTGTTGCAACAAATCGTCAGCGGCATCATTTTTATCTATACTGTGACCCATGTTTCTTTTTTTTTTAACGTTTTCACGTAAAATTGTAAATAACTGCGTAATAAAGATATGTTAATTTATAATTGTCTTTAATCTAAATTTTCCGAAATAACCAGTTTTGCACTTTACAAGCATCCATAATATTTCAAAACACAAAAATAAAAAACAATGCATACCTGTACGCTTGAAAATCTCGTTTCGTTATTATTCCTTTAAACTTAGTTATCTCGTCGACTAATTTGTCAGTAATATTGCCACTATAAAACACGGAGGGACCCTCTTCCGCTATAAGTTTCAAGGTCTTTGCCAATTTCGGTCTCTTTATTCGATCTCCTGCCTGTAAATATTTTTCTATTTAATTCTTAGTATTACTGATCCAAGAGATGTTTGCTAGACAAAGCGAGAGATTAAAGAAAACAAGAGATAAATAAAACTCCGAAAATTAAGATGCTACTTACGATCCACGTTTTATTAGTCTCAGGATTTATAAGTATTTCAGCCAAACTGCTCTCGTTCTTTATCATAGGCTCTTTCTCGGTCAGATATGCAGCAAGATAATCATTGACGTATGATCCAGTTTCGCACAATTTGATTGTGGGTTCGAATAACTCAGGCCATGGTATCCTTCCATATTTTTTATATGCTTCCCAATAGCCCATAAGTTCACCTGGGACAGCAACTGCTAGTCCACCTGTTCGACAACACACATACATATTTTTCTTGTTTATATTAACTTAGAGAACTATTATTACAAGTGGAGTATTTTATAGTTAAACGTTATGTTGCATCTAGTAATGACTGCCAGTCCACCTGTTCGACAACACATACATTTTGCTTGTTTACATTAACTTAGAGGACTATTATTACAAGTGGAGTATTTTATAGTTAAACGTTATGTTGCATCCAGTAATGACTATAGATATAACTTTTAAGCAATTTTGACGTAAATGTATAAGTATCTATCAGTAAGTTTTGTGAAAAAATCCTACCATACATGGATAAATGTGCATTGCCATTGAACATGTCTTCTGTTGCATTCATCGGAGCGGTCTCCCTCGCGTCCAGATAATCTGCCGTTTTGCTCTTTGCGTCCCATATCGTCATAAGAAATCCGCCGCCCAGTCCCATGCTTTAGATTAAATGTAGAAATATATCACTCATCAATGTTTTATTCGCAAAATACATGTGTCACATCAAGTTAAGTAAATCTTATCAAGTCAAGAAACATTTTTTATATCAAAAAAAGAAAGTTAAAAGATAAAATTGTAAGTATTGTACCTATGCAAAGATGCGACACCTTCACAAAGAAGTGCTGCTATTGCTGCGTCTACTGCCGAACCATTTTTAGATAAGATATCTACACCAATTTTTGAACATTCCTGTCCGTTTGTTGTCACGGCACCCTGTGTATAAATATTTCAATAATTGTGAGAAAAAACTTTTTGAATGTATATTATACTATATTACATCGTATTTTTTCTTTCTGTATGTAAAACAAAGTAAATGTTTTCGAAATAACAAGTGAAATAAAGTAGTTACTAAAAAATAACAATTTTTTAATAAAAATACATTTTTAAAGCAAATACGCACATAGCATTATTTTTATTATTTATTGTTATTTAAATAAAATTTTATATTAATTAATTTCCTAGCTATATTATTGATAGCTCGAGAAATATTACGTATTTAGAAATAATTACGTTTTTTCCCCGGAAAATTATATATTTTAACTAAGTGAGAGAGAATACCTTCGCAAAAATATATTTTCGTATATAAGTAAGTCAAATGTTGGGTATTTTTTTTTATGGTTTAATTAAACTAATCTTTTTTAATACTTATTGATTAATAAATATTACCTTCGCATATTGACCCAATTTAGAAGAACTGATGAACTTTGAACCGCACTTAACATTTGAATTGACCGTGAAGATTACAATTAATACCACGAAAATGGCCACAAGTACGAAGGCCAACAGGCTGAATGCAACCAACTTTTTTCTCACTCTGTACAAAACAAGCAAAAATAAATATTTAAAAATAGATTTTTATCTGTTTGTCCTTTTCATAACATATTAAGAACCAATTTAATTAAGTCGCGTTTATTTCATGAAAATTCGTGATCATTCCACGATCATAATTGTAAAATCATAATCTTTAATTTTAAACATTACAAACTTGATTTGTGTAATATTCTACATATCATTTTTTATTTAAAATTTGCATACAATATGTAAAAACGTTTCTACTTTTATTATTTCTACTATATTAATTTCATGCTATGTGTAAGTTGAAATTAAAAAATTCGATTATACGATAAAGAATTACTAAAAAAATTTAAATAAATCGAGTAAATCCATATTAGAATATATATGTGCATATAATTGTTTTCCTATAGAAAATAAGACGTCGATGATTACGATGCATATCTAATTAGTACGTGACTGATGAAAGAGGCCGAATAATAGTGATCATAAAATAGTGATGAATATAGTGATGCTTCTCTCGGTTACAATCTCATGGTTGCTTTACGCTCCAGTTAATAGTTTACCATGACCGCATTTGCACCTGCCTCACTACTGTAAAGGTTTATCAGTTGCAACAAAGTACAATCATAGCATTGTAATTACATTATGTAATGTGAAATCATTTTACACTATTTAATATGGTATAAATTAAAGTAGTCATATAAATTTTACAATATGCAACAATTCTATGTAGCAATATATAATTAATAAATAGATATTGTAAAGATTTCAAGTGAAATATACATTGTTAAAAAGATCTGTTTGTACATAAAATTTCTATGTGATGCACGTTTGTATAAATTAAAATGTCGTGCAGTTAGACGAGATGTAATAATTATTTATAAAATAACAAAGTTTCTAAAATTATAAAGTAATAAAGTAATAAGATTCCTTTGTAAACACTCCATAAACAATGTTTACGATTGTATGATAAGAATCGCGACTTAAAACTTAATATAATCAAACGTAGATATCACTTAACAGATATCAACATTATCAATGCGATCACGTCGTATTACTGTCACCTTTATTGCCGTCGTTAATTCAAGAACATGGTCCAGCTATCATCATGCAATCACAGATTTACACATGCAGAAGACATTTACTATACAATTCCCTGAGATTGCGTAACGCGTGTGTACACTATTCAATATAGAGTCATGCATCGTATGGACTTAACATCATTACAATTATAATTTTAATTTATCAATCTCAAGATGTGACAAGATATGACTAAGAGATAAGTCTAAAATGACTCTAAAAGAAACAAAGATCCCATTTTGTAACTGGTTAATTAATCAGTCTTAATTAAACATATTACAGATCTGTAAATATTTAATCATTGCGCACTTTATCAGTCTACTAATTCTATTATGAACGTACAATAAAGATAAAATTTGAAGGGATTAATGTAGTAGATATATCACGTGTAAATAAAGCAAGAAAGTAATTTTTTTACTTTAATCAGGGAATAAGACAGATAAAATAAATATTTAAAAATTGGATAAATATTTCTTTTACCAGTCGACGTTCGATAACATCGACTAAAATAAATCAACCTGCCTCAGGAAGTTTTTTAAAATATAGTCATAAAAATATTACACAATAATGTCAATAATGAAATAATGTATTAATTACAATGTGTTGACAGTTATATTTTTATATTTGAAAAACACGTTACGCGTATTTCTTTATATACTTTTGTAACTTTAAATTAAATAATGATTGTTTAATTATAAAAAAAAATATGTTTAGTTAATTATACAGGTATGTTTAATGTACTGAAGTAAAATTAAAAATTGCACGACAGTGTAACTTGCTGGCGTATTTCATTTTGTATACTTTAGATTAAAAAATATTAAAATATGAATAAATGATGAATTATATATAATAGTATGTATGTGTGAGTGAGTGATTGTATGTGTGTGTAGAAACACGTAATGTGATTGTTAATTGTAAATTTTTAACAGAATTTGCAAAAACTGTATGTTTATATTATAGTGTATATGTATTTACATAAATATAATTAACTTATAAACAATTCAACATAAATTAATTCTAGAATATTTATAAATGCACCAATAAATAATATTATTCTTAAGTGACGCAAAAATAATTTTCTTCAAAAAAGGCTTGTTAAAAGGATTAAAAGCATTTAAAAGTAATTTTCAAATTAAGCACATACATATATGTATTATTTGTAGCTAGAAACGATTATAAAAATGTTGCAAAAAATTCAACGATAGTCTTCTTTCAATGATAAATTCGTTAGAAAGTTGTGAGAATTTTTTTGTAAAATACTTTTTACGAACCGGTTTCATGTATTCATTCTCGACACAAACATGTGGCACTATCTATGGAAACATACTTACACATAAATTGTGGATGCAATTATCTATAATTAGTTAAGCATTTTTGCAATTATAATAGAAGTATCAGATGTATGTATACAGCAACGAATAATGATCGTTGTACAGTGAACGTAACATTTTATTCCAGTCGATGCACAAGATCAACTGAGTTTAAAATTAAAGTAAATTTCCACGTCTAGCAAGAATATTCCCTCTCTTCCTCTCTCCCTTCCACACACACTCTGTCTCTCTCTCTCTCTCTTTTGTTTTTATCTTACTTATTTTTATCTAAAAATAGTACTTAATGAACAAAATTGCAATTACGTGCACACGATAATTACGATTCCATTGTAGATGCGATTGCAGCACACGGCGTATTAGTTGCACGTGATTACGCCACTGCTAATCGCTCGAGTATCAAGCATTCTTCTATCCCTTGTAACTCTAACAAAAATTTTTATAGGAAATTATCAATTTCTATAATTCGTTAAATTTTTTTGAAAATGAGTATCATGATAAAAGTTGTTTTAATCTGAATTTTTAATTCCACTATAATAATTGCATTGCATGCATTAATAATAATAAGAAAATCAAATTATCGACTTATCAAAATTAAATACTTTTTGGAGATATTTTATAACGATTTTTCGTTTTAAAAAAATTGTACTGCCACAATTTATATTAAAAGGTAATAAATACACAAATATAAACACAATAAATCACAAAAGTTGTGCATCTTTGATTTTATGGATCCCGATATTTATCTAACATTACTTCTAAATATTTGATCTCCAATATTTTATTTGTTTATTTATTTCTAATATATATATATGTATTAATTTATATGAAATATATAATAACTCAGCAAATAGATATATATATAGTGGATTAAAAAATTGCACTCAAGAAGCACGTTCTCGCAAATCACAAGTTTATGCTACAACTCACGTTTGCACTGTTTAAACATCACAAATTTTGCAAGTTACAAAAATAAAACGTTTCACACAATGTCAATTTAAATTATTGCGTACAAGGACGGTAACTATGTTTTCACTTACGTTGAATTTGCATTGAGTTTTAACACATCGAACGATTTAGCGAGTCAGTCAGTAGAAGAAAAAAAATATACAAAAGTTTTCAAAATAAGCATTTTTACCTGCTGCCCCACACCTTCGCGGAACGATAAAGAAGTAAAATATACCAACCCAATCATGTTGCACAGGCGAACGTAGCACAGCGAGCATGACAGAGCGGTCAGCCTTGACTAAACGTTTCTCTAAACCGATCGTTTCTCTTATAACAGTAACGATACCGTTTCTATCTATTCATCCCCACTCGCTCGTCCGGAAACCAAAACGAAAGAACGTCTGATTGTCTTTTTTTTCAAGTCAACGTTCTCATTATTGTTTTTAAAAAAATGATTACAGTAAATTATATCATTTGAAATTGACCATTTTATTAAAACTTATTATGATTAACTAAAAAACGGAGTATGCGATGCCTGCAATTAAGAGGATCGAAAGACCACTATAATGGCTGAAAAAAAGCTATTTTTGTAAAGCTTTTTCGTAAAAACTAATAAATTGTATGAATTATTAGGTTATTATCCATACTGGGTTACGTTCCGAAATTCGACCCTGTCAACTCTGAGTATCTTTTATCTTTGTTGTTCGCCGAATGTCGAACAAAGATAAAAGATACTCGGAGTTGACAGAGTCGAATTTCGGAACGTAACCCAGTATATTTAAAAAGTAAAAACATACAGTATATTTAAAAAGTAAAAACATAGTATATTTAAAAAGTTAAAAATCATAAATTATCTTTATACATTAATAATACATATATTCAAAAAGTTAAAACTCCGTAAATAAAAAAAGGAATATAAGTTTTTACGAATATCAGTCCCTATAGGCTAGCAAAAAAAACCGCAGAGCATTTTCAGGTGTGCGGCTGGATGCGTCTGACCACATACTATTGCTATTCCATTACACAATTATTATAATTTTATTATAAATTTTAATACAATATTTTATAGACATATTGTACGCGCTATGCACGTTTTCACTTTTGTATTTTCGCTCGCTTTGCTACGCTCCCTCCTTCTGAAAGGAGCGCTACCTGCGTTCCCCTTCTCCTCAGCGTTCGCTTATCAGCGTTCGTTTCTGCGTTCGTTTGCGTTCGTTCGCTTCCGTATCTGTTCGTTCGCCACTTCCGTCTTCTTCTTCCTAGTTCGTTTTCGTCCAAGCATGCAGCAGCATGATTTTTCTTTACGCTTATTATATAGTCGTTTAAGTTTGCAATAGTTCACCATCTGTGTTCTACGATTGTCAAGCATGCACATGCATGAGTATAATAAGATTAAATAAGTATCATTATCAACTATGTTTTCGTGTTGCTTCTTGCCAACACTGGTCCTTCGAGCATTATCACACGCTGCATCAAGCATAGCAAATTAATATTCGAGCCACAAGGCTTTCATAAGAGAAAATAGCGCTACACATAGCGCATAGAGGCACAAGCCCGCACACATATTTTTATTCACATTTTAAAGACTTCAAGCAGAATAAAAATGCAAAAAAAATCGATTTTTTAAACTCATCACGGTGGTCTTCCCTCTTAAGCATGTATGAGAAATCTTGCAAGAATGTCTGTTAAATATTATTTTCATATTAAACAATAAATTGCATAATAATATGATATTAATTAGATTTCGCTCGTGTTTTGCAATGTATAAAGAAAGTCGGTCTAAATCGAATTTCTTTATACATTGCAATTAATAAGATGTTTTTATAAAATAAATTTCAAGTTTACAATGTTAATAAAGCATAAAAATAAAAATATATAAAGAATACAATATAAAAATGATATAATGATATTGAACGTTTCGGAACTCACAGGTCCTTCTTCAGCGATTTTTGAAGATGTAACAAAGTCATAGAGATGAATAATCTTACGGTCAAAGCGACATAGTGTGATACAATTGTTTCGAAGAATTGATTCTCCTGTATTTATGTGAATTGTATAATAAAATGTGTTAAAATAGGAGCATCTTTACATATCGTCTGATATTGTTGAGCGTAAGTATTACAATATAATATTAATATACATAGATATTAAAATGATAAATGATAAAATTAATCTATTAGATATATGTATATGTTAGATACACATATGATGATATATGTCTAATATATCAATTTTAATATTTATCACTCTAATAGGCATTAATTTATTTTACTCAAATAAAAGTTGCATAATAAACAAAAAATTATTAAATAGTATAAAAATATTTTTATTTTAGAGTATACAAATTACAAATCAAGAACTGTTTTTAGTTTGATGATAATAGCATTACATTCTTTATACGCGGAAATATTTACGTTCGCTTAGAATTTGTATTTTTCAATGCCTTAAGCTTTAACATCCGCAATAAATTTTCCTCTGATGACTTGATAAACATTATTAAAAAATATTGATCAAGGATTATGTTACAGTGAAATTAAATTCAAGGAAATACTGAAACGTTAGCAAATTATTTCAAGTATTCTAAGTATTCCAGTAGCAATATTTTTTAAAACAAGTTTTTCTAAATTACGCACAATCGTAATTTCTATGATTATATCATACAATAGTTATAATATTATTCTTGAAATATCATACGTCATACAATAATAATAAATAATAAATAATAAATAAAAAACAATAATAAATAATATCTTTAATAAAATTATGTCTAACGCAGCAATGAATATATATAAAATAAAAATGCCGAATTACGAATTATATATAAAAAAAGAAATTGAATTTCTAAACCTAACACGTAACATCTTAAACTTGGCTCTCACCACATTGTTCTAACAACGGTCAATTTTATAATACGTACATCGATACAATTTTATTAGAAACAATTATTACACGCTTTCACAAATTACATTTATAACTAGATGAATTACATTGTTTTTGGATTTTTGCTGGTTTGCCGAAATGTAAACGACTTTAATTATGCGAGTTAGATTGCACAACTATTTATATATATATATTTTATTTTTTAAATATTTTTTTATGTAATTTTATAATTCTATAATTTCGAACATTTGTTAACAACTTGCGATCTTTGTAACATTGATAATGATTTAATTGAGGTCGAAACGTTTGCTTTTCTAATTAAACTACGTAATTTTAACCAAATGACAATTTTTATTTATAAACAATTGTATATTTTAACGAATTTTTCCCTTATAGAAATTTAACACTAATACTGGCCAATTAATCACTTATTTTCAGTATTAAAAATACTGTTAACAATACTTTTAATACTGGAAATAAGTGATTAATTGGCCAGTATTAGTGTTAAATTTCTATAAGGGTTTGGCTCGTAGCCATTTTTCTTTTTCATTATTCTTAAAAAAAGAAATATTATTATATTTATTGCCATAAAAAGTATAAGAAATAATTAATTGCAATACAGCTTATAATAATAGCGCGTGTATTCAAATAATGAGCTACCGTTGAAATAATGAGCCAAAACATATGCATTAGCATAAAAAATATAAGAGAGAAAGAGAGAGAGAGAAGTGTGATATTTCCATATCTGATTTAACGCTAAATATATATATTTGTTTTACAAATGTATATTATGTATCAGTATATGTGTAATACATTCACATATACCCAATTAGGGCACAACGTTTTTAAAAAATGTTTTTTTAATATTTATTTTCTATTCATTACTTAGTTGAAAAATTTAAAGAAGATATTTATTTAACATTGATTAAATATTTATTTTACATTAATTATTGTTTTTGAAATAACTTAAAAGATATATATTTAACATTAATTTAATATTTATTTTATATTAATTAATTAGTGAGCAGTACACAACATTATGGCTAGATGAACGCTATTTTTCATAAGCTAATCGCATAAGATAGAATAAGTTTTATCTACATAAGGGAATAAAAGGCACAACAATATATTCTCTCGTCAATAATAATGAAATGATACTGAAATGATACCTTGAAGACAACCTTAAAATTGGACTCTAAATAAAAATAAAATACGGTAAAGTGGGGTAATTTAGATAAATTAACAGAAATTTTTTAATTGTTAAAAGATTAAGGTTGCATACTGTATTCAACTAAACATACAAAACGTATACTATTGCATCAATAGTATACGTTTTGTATGTTTGATTTGAGACACTACGCACACACACACACACACACAATCTCAATCTTTTATATAATTCGAAAATTTCTTTTAATATATCCAAATTATATATACCCCGCTTTATCCAATTTTGACAGTTTGTGTACCGTAAAGTAAACATTTTTTAATGTTAACGATTCATGTTTCTAAATATCCAAAAAACGTTTATTTAATATTAAAAACACGTTTTATTAAACGTTAAAAAAAACAATTTTGTCAATGTTAAAATAAATATTTTTTAATAAAAAGAAGAAACTTTCTTATAAATTTTAACGTTTATTAAATCTTCTTTTAACATTGCTAAAACTATTTTTAAAAACATTTAAAAAATATTTCTTTTTGTGTTTGGGTATGTACATACAAACATTTTGTTACATATGGTACTTATATATATATATATATAGTATATGTAATAGGATTCAATTTGAATCTTAAATCTTTTAAATTCTAATCTTAAATATGATCCTACAATATAGTCTTAAATATAATTTTAAATCTCTCTCTCTCCTCCTCTCTCTCCCCCTCCCCCACCCCCTCCCTCTCTCTCTCTTTCTTTCTCATAAATCTTTTAAATTTAATTTTAAATTTCTAATCACTGTAAATATATACACTTTTCAAACACTTTATACGATCATTGACTAAATCTTAAGTTAAACACAGATTTTAAAAATATCCTAACTGTACGTGCAAGAAATGTTTTATTTTCGTTTTAAAATCAGAAGAAATATAATAAGCCTTTTGAAATATAATAAGCACATCGTCGTAGTGTAAAAGAAATAATTTTGGTTTTAATTAGCTGCATTGAACTTTCTGTGATTAATATTTTGAAAATAAATTACATTTTTACGACCGACTGCTGCCAACCGAAGGTTGTTACTTTTTAATATAAAATTTTTATTACATTACATCGCAGAGACATTACGTAGAATATGTATTGACAACGTGTCAATCATATTTCGAATATCAGGATCTAAACATAATATACGACAATTAGCTCATTATAGTGACATGCTTGCTACGTCACGTACGAGCTGTCAGAATATATGTATAACTATATGTACATTTTACGTATAATATATACTTATATGCATATATTCTAACTGATTCCGCATTTAATATATATATTTTTCTACTACATATGATTATATTATATATATATATATATATATATGTAGTCAACATATATTATTATTACAATAAAATTAGAGAAAAGACTCAAGAGAATAAATCTAACAATATAAATAATTATAGCAATATGAGCTAATCGACACAATAAGTTATTTTCATGTATATTAAAAAACTATTTATTAAACTTTATACATGTACATCTTTACATGTATACATTTTAATAAATAATAGTTTTTTAATATACATGAACAACTTAATAGCTCAATATTATATTGGCTACATAATAATTTATATTGTTAGACGTTTTATAACTATATGAATACTTAATGTAATTGTTTTAATATATCGTTCACATATGTATAAAATCGGATTACACTTTTTGTTTAATTTGTTACAAAATTTTTAAATTTATAAAAACGCGGAGTCGCGAATTATTAAAATCGTAAGATTTTAAAAATTCAAGAAAAATGAGTGTCGCAATACAGTTTGTAATAATTTTTTATTATTTTGAGCTTTGTGATCTCAATTAAGATTACATTCTAACTTAAACATGATTCTTGGCGAAAATAAATATCAGAGGATACATCTTAAAACAGAGAAAAATCTGAAAGTGGACATCCTGGCCTTTTTTGTGTATGTACCAAATCTCATAGGATAATGTCCACATTTTTGGTTCTCTTCCATACTATTACGTAGGTTAAACAAAGATGAACAATCAACTTTGATGATTCGTCCTTGTCTAGCCCACGTAATAGTATCGAAGAAAACCACAAAAACATGGACATTGCCCTATGAGATTTGGTACACAAAAAAGACCAGGATGTCCACTCTCAGGTTTCTCTCTGTTTCCAACAGTGATCATCTTGAATGCCTTCCAACAAGCGATACACATGACACGCCCAGTATGTCCTTGTTGTTCGTCAATGTTAAACAAGGATGAGATGATCACTGTTAGCTACATTCTGTTATTCACTGTAAAAGCACTGAAAATCTATAATATACGTAACACGAACTATAAATTTTCAGTACTTGCAGTGAATAACGGAACGCAGCCTGTGTCGCACCATGTAGAGAGCCTGTAATATTACAGACTCTCTATCCGTGGTCACAGTGGTCAAAGCTAATGGGCCTTATACAATAAGCCGTAAGTCACAAATCAAAAGTCATAAGCTAGAAATGGACCAATCACAGTCGTCAATTTTTAGTTTCTTACTTCCGATTTATGATTTATGACTTATTGTAGAAGGCCCATAAGGAATTAGCATTCTAGTAGAATATATAGAAGTTTGTGGTGCTGCCGCCACCAGCCGCCACTGTCGGTGCTGATTGACTGTTCGGAAAACGGCGGAGTCATTTGGAGTCATTTTGAGTTTCTTACCGAACTGTGATTATTTTGGACAGCCGAAACGATGTCGGCGAGATATGATAGAGCGATCACGGTTTTTTCACCAGACGGACATCTACTCCAGGTGGAATACGCTCAGGAGGCAGTCAAGAAAGGCTCGACGGCGGTATGTTGAACAATTCGATTTTCCTAACCTCCCTTTCTCCTGAATTAAAGAGATTTTCGAGTGTTTCACTGTTTCCTCTCGTCTACCCGTCAATTTCCAGTCTATGTGTTGCCGTACACGAAGAATTTTATGATGAACTAACTTTATTCACCTACTTTATACATGACTCTGCGAATCCTTTATTAGGTTAGGTTTCATACATATATATGCATATGTGTAGTACGTGTTTTGTGTCATTATATTTCTATACTTTAGCATTATTGTTCTTGAGTTGTATCTATCGTGCCATACCTAACATTCTATTCCTAAGAATAAAATATGATTTATATTCATATTATCATAAAAAATTAAAAAATTCTAGCTGAAATTCTTGATAAAATTCTATTTATTCTTTGTTTGCTTAAATTTTTTGTAAATACAGGTTGGTGTACGCGGTGCAGATGTAGTAGTCTTAGGTGTCGAGAAGAAATCTGTCGCTAAATTACAAGAGGAACGTACAGTACGCAAAATATGTCTATTGGACGATCATGTAATTATGGCCTTTGCAGGTATAGTAGTGACTTAAAGATAAATTTTGTTTTCGTATGTTGCAAATAGGATAATTGTTTTCAATTCTTATAATAGGTTTGACTGCTGATGCAAGAGTATTGATCAATCGTGCGCAAGTTGAATGTCAGAGTCATAAATTAACTGTAGAAGATCCTGTTACCTTGGAATATATTACAAGGTATATTGCAGGTATGACTAAAATTTACTAATTCTTCTGTAATAGTACGCACAGTTAGTATTGTACTAAGAAGAAATATACAAATCTTTTGTATAATCGAATTATGTCTTATGTTCTGCCAAGAGAGTAAACGTTTTTAAATTTAGCTTAAAATACAACTTTACTTTTTTCACACTACTTTAATATATTTCTTTTCTGTCACTCACAACTCAATTTTCCAATCAATCTTATATAAAACTGAGACATGTTCGGGATCAAGGAAACCTGTTAACGATTGACAGGTCAATCGTTTTTTACATAAAGCTATATATCACTCCAATAGAAAATTAAAATTGTTATAATTTACAGGCTTAAAACAGAAATATACACAGAGTAACGGCCGTAGACCTTTTGGAATATCCTGTCTCCTAGCTGGATTTGATTATGACGGTGTCCCACACCTTTATCAAACAGAGCCATCAGGGATATATTATGAATGGAAGGTATTTAAGGATAAGACTAATTTTATAAATTTTTTGCTAAATAATATAATTAAAAATCTGTTTTTCCACAAAAAGGCAAATGCAACAGGTCGCAGTGCAAAAACTGTGCACGAATTCCTAGAGAAGTATTATACCCCGGAAGAGGTATCGACAGAAAAGGGTTGTATAAAATTAGCCATCAGAGCGCTTCTTGAAGTAGTTCAATCTGGACAAAAAAATCTGGAAATAGCAGTAATGCGACGTGGACAGCCATTAGAGGTATAATTGCAACTTGTATCTAACTGTACATTTAATTTTACATTTTGATCGAAGAAATTCATATAAAACAAATTTACATTAATATATATAACATTTTAGATGTTGGACACAGACACCATAGGCGAATATGTAACAGAAATTGAAAGAGAAAAGGAAGCAGAGGCAGAAAAGAAGAAACAGAAAAAGTGATGTCTCGTGTTCTATTATGCACTTTCATTATACTACTATTAATTAATTTTTCTTATAAAATAAATATATTGGAAGAAAACAGAGGAGGAAAACATATAAATGAAAAACGCGATAAAAAAAACTGTTGGACTTTTTTATTCATACTATTTACTGCCACATAATTGTGTAAAACGTGTATACAAAACCACTCGCTGAATGTTTCGAATTTTAAGGCTGTAGATTGATATTATGAGGACAAGGATCACAATCTGCTATATAAGTTGTTTTTCAGCAATAAATAATTACATTTCATATCTATGTATATATCAAATTATCTTGTTAATGCTGTTACTTTATAGTAACTTACTTTTCTAAAGTGATACATTATTCATTTTTTAATATGATATAAATATAAATTACATTAATTGATAACACTGTATTTCATAGATATTTGCTATTCTAAGTACGATTTAACAAATAATATAAATAATTTGGTGTGTTTATTATCTTTTTTTAATGATTTTATATCAAAGTATACTATTTTTACTCTGAGATGTATTCTGGAGACAGAGATCTTCCACGATGATTAAATACTTGAAAGGATGGTAGATTCCGTAGTGTCTCCCAAGATTTATTCTCCAAATCAACAACTGCTCGGATTTCTTTGAAATCGCCAGCAATGTACATAACACCATACATAACGATAAATAAACTGGCTATACCTTGGATTAAAATCTGTGACAGCAAAACATATCCCAGTAATGTATAAGGTTCTAAGATTATATCAGCTTATTGGAATTTATAGAATATTTTATATAGAAATAAAAGTTTTAGTATTCTATTATATACCATATGCAAAGTAAGTATTATTATGAATCATAACTTACATCAATTGGCAAAGTAGTAAACTCTTGTTCAGTGATTCGCAAATAGGAACGATCTAAAAAAAAACCAAGTTTTGTTTATTGATTTTAGTTACATTGTTCATTTTTCGTTTCAAAAATTTGATTATGACTTATGTCTTATTTTACTTCAAGTGCCAAACAAAAACGAAAGATATAACTCCATCATAATATTAATATTATGTTTTAACCTAAGAAAGTAAGTAATAAACTGAAAGAATAATATGCAGATACTCACGCTGTGCCGCAGAATAAGCTGCATGTAATATAGACATAAATCCTACAAAAGTTATAAATTTATGTATAGCCGTAGCAGACATGATGAATGTATATAATATCACGAGTGACGCATTGAAATTGCTCCTTTAATTCAACAACGTAACCGAAACAAGAGCGATTATCGATCTCACGACTACTACCTCTAATCAAAAACTCAGAAATGACAAATGTCTGTATGGTTTACTCCAGTTTATTCCAGAAAGAAACCTGAGAGTAAAGTGGAGTAGAGAGGATCGACGTACCAGCGTTAGACAAATCTGCGTTTAGCGACGCCTCTATGTGCGCAAACTGTATGTGAACTATGTAGTCACAGATATTTCTGGGGGTAACATTGACAATATGTAGCCATAACCACAGCACGGAGTAGAACCAAAGTAAAAAATCACAAAGACTGAAAAAAATGTTAAGTTTCAAGTTTAAGATATTTTTATGACATACAGTGCAAATAACATTTCAAATAAATAACTGAATAAATGGCAACAAATAAAATTACTCTTATTATATTAGCTATTTATATGTATTCTCACATAATACTAAAAATAATGATAAATCAATAAATTTGTAATTTATGAAAAGTATATTATAAATATATTAAAAATTAAATATACCATTAAATGCAACATAGTAATATATATCACAATTCTACCGTTTACAATACAATGAATTTCTTTCGTCGATGGGCATTTGAAGAATTAGGGTGCAAACCCATGCAGCGGAATAGCGTAACGCGGAACGAGAGCAGAACCATCCTTAAGGCTCAATCTAAGAGTCGAAACATGTAATGCGCAAAACCGAGTATATTTTTAAATATATTGAATGTGAAAACTTTTTATTTAGAATTGTCGGTAACTCTCGAATTGCCCTTTGTTTTACCCTTTCATTAAATGCCATTCTTCGTTTATCTGCGAAATTAACCATTTGAAATGTGTGTATACATATATATATGTATATATACAATATACATCTTGTTTTCAAGACTCGTTAATGTTTATTATATTATATTAAGTGCTGAATTACATGAGTATTTGTTTATATAGAACTTCTTTCTAACATCTTCCCAGGCGTCTAAGGTAGGCTCCCACTACATTACCTTACTGATGAATCCAGTAGTGGAAGCCGGGACGAAACGTCAAAACTTGTGATATTCTTCGCAATCTTATTTTCACAGATTTTAAAATTATTACTTTAATATTAAATTTTAATATATGTCTTTCAATATATTATTAAGATCTAATAATATGCTATAGGCATCAAAAATTGGTTAGATTGATTCTCAATTTAACTAAGTGATATTACTGCGGTAGTGAATATGTATGCGTCAATGCTGAAAATCTATCAGCGTCGCGGGGGGGACTACATACGCAGTATATAAATTCACATAATATAATAAACATTAACATCTTGTTTTCAAGACTCGATTAGGCTTTACACTTGCTGAGATTTTTAAATCATACGAGTCAATTATTATTATCTTTCATTATATATATATGTATATAGTACATATAATATATATTAATATATGTATATTTATTTATTAAAAGAGTACGTTTAATTGTGTTCAAATGCTCTTGTTTTTTGTTACATTTAGTTAATATTTATCATACGTCTAAGGCCGGGAAGAATATTTGTGATTCAGTGTATTCAAATATCAGGGAATGGAAATAATTAATTACTGTAACTGTTTTATTCTGATTGTGACTTTATTATTTGTATTTTGCATCTAAATATTTTTAATTATATGTTATTATAAATAATATAATAATTTATTTATTATAAAAATAATATTATATAATACAATTTAGTATATATTTTGTCATATTACTGTAATAAAAGTATTTTATTCGATATTACAATTTGTTAATAAGTTATTTTGATTTATATCACCTCATTATTTCTTCCATTTTGATTCGCTTTACTTTTTTGTGCATGCGCGTGCATAACACGTCACATGCCAGCGCCAACGATTCTCGTTACAATAAAGAATGTGCAGCACACAAACCGCATGTTACCAATACAAGCATAAATCATTATCTTTTCTCTACCTTCCATCATTAACATATTACAATAAGAAGTGCATTAAATCCAGCTAACAATTATCAACACAATTACATATTAATAAAATATATCTTGATATTAAAAATTTGATATTAATATATGATATATTACAAAAGAGTAAATTGACAAATCAATTTTTTATTATAAAATACTTAATATAACATACACTATTTTGATAAAATATATAATCATAATAAAAAATTGATTTGTCAATTTACTCTTTTGCAGTCATATCATATATTGATATCAAACTTTTTATATCAAAAACGCATTTCACTACATGTAAAAAATTTTAACTGCAAATCAATTATATTTATTATACAAATTAATTATTGACAGCTACATTATATTATATAATATAAATTATTATGTACTATAAAAAATAAATTAAATATTATCCAATTGTTTGAATTACATTCTTGTGAATGTTAGTCCTCTTAATAAGTTAATTTAAACGAGGAATGAAATTCGTTAATCGTCAATGTCAAGTTATCCTGTGCGAGATATCCCAGTATCCGAGAATGGATTGAAATGGATTAAAATGGATTCAAATTTTCAGAAATACGGATTCATGAATGTTAAAATGAATCCTTTTCAATCCGAATACGTTTTTATTCATTTATAGGAATTGCATGGAGCATATCTGTATACTTTTCAATCCGAATACGTTTTTATTCATTTATAGGAATTGCATGGAGCATATCTGTATACTTTTCAATCATAAAATAATATTATAGCTTTTTCAGTGCGTTTGTGACCATAGTGAATACTGTTCAATTCATAGTTTTGAATAGGAAACGCAGTTTTCCAATCCAGTTGTATCTAATTGAATCTAATTGAATTTAACTGAATTCAATTGAATCCACAAAAAAGTATTCGCTATTTAAAATACGAATTCGAATAAACAAAAATATGATCTCAATTCTAAGATGCATTTGATTGATCGTTACTAAATTATCAGTAGTCCTTATCCTTACAAGGAAAGCAAAAGCAAAATTCAAATAATACCACTGGCATATCTGGTGTTTCTTTTATTACGTTAATAGCTACTTCCAATATAGGTTTCAATGCCCTCGTTGCGTATACGTAGGGAGATGTACAAATATTTTCGCAATAGTAGCAATTGTGGGTTGCATTTCTAGCTACATATTCATTTATTACATCAAATTGGAAAATTACTTGTCTTTCTCTGCGAAAATATTCAATTTAGTTCATTTACGTACATTATCAAGTCTAAGGAACTTATATATAGATAATATATACTCTAATTTTTGCTAAAATTACGTTATAGCACGTATGTACATAACAAGTCGAAAAATGCAATGTACCTGCAATATTGTTCCAGTGTTTTTGCTGCAAATTGGGCAAGACTTGGTACCAATATGTCACATTCCCATTTTTTGGCAAATGGATTCATCGAAACATCTAAAGTTTGCAATTCCAAATATATTATCTTTGCTGGCAAATACTTTAAAAAGTTATGTGACAAATCCAAAATACGAAGATTTTGAGCATTTTGAATGTTTTCTGGTAAGTGTTCCAACCAATTGTGACTTATTTTTAATTCCACCAAAGCATTCAACTTCCAAATATGGCTCGATAATTCAGGCAGCTATAAATTAATGATTATTTATATGTGTTATATCTTTATTATATATGTTATATTTAGTGATATTGTAGTGTTATTAATTATAAATTGTTATTCACGACAACATAATTGTTTAAAGGGATTAAACTTTAAGGGATTGTCAGGATATCCTTACAATATGATTTACCGAATTATGACTTATATCTAAAAAACACAAAGTTCTCTTAATATGTTTTTCTTTTAGCCATGTCCATCCATATAATCGACTCAAACAATTATGTGATAAATCGAGCCGTTGAAGACAGTGCAAAGCGCCCAATTTTCTCGGTAACACATCAATTTTATTATTTGATATATTTACATCTACTAAAAGCCACCTTGTAATGTTATCAAAGTTCATCAACAGCGAATTGTATAAAAACTTGAAAAATAGTGATGTAAATAATTTTTCTACCTCCTCTTTTAAAATTCGATATTTTTTCCTTGATTGCGTTTCTTCAAAAGTTTCAGAGTATTTTCTCTTCATAGTTCTCTACATTATTGAGAATAGTTATTTAAATTTTAAATTAAATTAAATTTGTGTTAGGTAAAATAATTATGCTACAAGTTTAAAATACACTCACAGTTTCAAGAAAAAGCGGTACACTATAAATTTGGGAAAAATTTACCAAATTTCAAATAATCTCATAACTTGATAAATAATAAAGATGAAAATATGTTTAAAAAAGCAGAATGAAGAAATGTACAGTGTTATACAATTTTGAACTTCGTAAAAACGTCCATTTTGGGATGCAATGAACTAAAACTGGACTAAATTAAATATATTAAACAAATTTTAGACCATAATCCAGACAAATTTGGAAACGCTGGAAGCAAAAGTTCCTAATAATTGTTATCACTGCGAGCAGCAAGCTATTGTTGCTTAATTGACGCTTGCCGCTTGTTGCGTACTGTCTGAACTATTAAGCTTTAATTTGGTAAATTTTCGCGTTACCGGAGATAACAAAAATAAAACTCCTCGTGCGATCTTAAAAAAAATTTCACTTGGCAATAAGTCAGCGAATGCAACTACATCGCGAGCAGACTTAGAAAATTTTTTGCATTAGATAAATATTTTTTAAATGTTTAAATGTAAACATACTTTGTACGTTGAATAACATACGTTTTTAAAACATTCGTACTAAGTCCATGGATGTTTGGACCAGATTGAAACCAAATCTGGATATCCAATGGATGTTCTGTGCTGTCTGGAAAAAGCATTTAAAAGATAAAATTCTATACTACTTTCACATTCATATTGCCCCATTAAACGACAACACTCGATTCACACCATGCACCATTGCAAAGTTGGACCTTTAATTATCAATTTTGCATGTTCTTATTTTGTAATTCGCCATTTTGAAAATAGTGGCCTAGTACAATTCTCATTAAAATAATTTTAAAGTGTACATTTCAAGCTTCATTTTGCTTTTTTAAACATATTTTTATCTTTATTTTTTGCTAAAAGTTATGATCATTTGAAACTTGGTAAATTTTTTGGAACTGAGATAGTAATATACTTATTTAATATATAACGCTCTAATATAATAACTTAATTCTCAAGTAAAGTAATTAATAAGGAATAAAAATATTTTTTATTATTACATATATTATATCATAGAAATTATTCACCATTGTGTATAAAGATGATATATATCTTATTATAATTATATTATTATTAACAATCCGATAAAATTTTGTAAATATTTTATGCACATTGTTAATAATATACAAAAATTGAAGATATTTGTCGCAAATATATATATATATATATATGTTCTAAGTTTTCTGTAAAAGTCTATAAAAGTTACTTGATCTGACACGATTTGGTATATTGTGAAAACTAACTTTCATAATTAGGCTTATTTATAAACTTACGAATTATTACATCCAAAATGTATCTCACATTCCGTGTTGGGAAATCAGATTTTTCAATTTTTAGATAAAAGATGGTCTGTTGTACAATGTATTGTTTTTATCACTCAAATTTTTCTTTTATTGCTGCTTTTGCAGAAAAATTTACATCATATAGACTTGTAATTCCTAATTTATAACGTTGTAGTGTTCGTTTCAATTTTAAATTAGTTAACGCAGCTATGTAGGTGATACATATATATGACACGAGTCTCGAGGTAACTGTCGTATTTCATTATTATTTATTGTTTTGTATTTCTTTAGTTTGTAGCGACACTAGCTGATATAAATGTGACACAGTATGTTGTAAAGATACTTTTAACTAAAGATTGTAATTAAAATATAATAATAATAACGCATATGGCGCTCGTTACATTATAAATATATATGACAATTTTGCTAATAACACCGTACGTTGTATGCTCCTTTTATATTTATTCGTTACATTTATATTTTTCAAAAAATTCGATTAGTTTTTTTAAGATAAATTGATGTTAGCAAAATTTCAAATTTATGTACATATATACATATATAGTTTAAATGTCTCAAAATGATATATAAAATTTGAAAGATATATGTTACAACTAGCTGTTACAAGTTATTTATCAGAATATTAAATATTAAAATCTAAAAACATATTTTATATAGAAACTATGCAATTAAAACAATAGCACAACGTGACATATTTAAACCATATATATTATAATAAATATTTATAATATATAAAAAATACTAATAAAAATATTGATTTAAATGTTCTAAAGCATTGTAAATAATATGTTATAAAAATATCTTATTTAAAGTTTTATATCTTTACCTGACCTTGGCGACGCCATCCAAGGTCAAACCGATGTGCATTGTGCAACGATGTGACAGCTCAGTTACCTGGGTGTACTCAGATGATGATTCTGAACGCAGCCCTGTGTCGTTTGTTGGAAGTTCCACACGATAATACGAACCTGATACGAACCGGTACGAACGCACGTGGTGCATTTCTATGCATTTGCCAACATTTGGTGTTTGACTTACGAATTTTATATAATATTTATTATTGTTATAAAAACTAAATTTGTGGCTATAAAACTAAACTAAACTAAACTTAAATATGGGGGTAAGTTAGGAATTTTTCAATATCTGTTAATTTAATGGACAATTTGTATCTAACCTAAAAAATTTATTTTAATTTTACAAATTTCAATTTTTTCAAGTATGTGATGTATTTTTAGTGTATCTTTTATTGAAAAATGTTATATTATTCTATATTTATGAATGTATATATATACACAGTTATTTATGTTTGATTTTTTAAAATTGAGAAAAAGTATTTTTTTTATGAACATATATTTGAATTTTATTAATTTTATTAACAAATAATTGAAGAATTAAATTATTAATTTTATTAATTTTGCATGTACAGTGACTTGTAATATTAATAGTTGTTATTTAAATTTAATAAAAAACTTAAAAAAATTTATTTAAAGTAAGTACACTGTCTATACCATTATTTATTTTACAGAAAGTAAAAAAGCCAAAAATCAGTAAAATTAAAAGAAACAATCAAATAAAAACAAAACTTTCAAAGCAGGGCAAACTTAAAACTCGACGACATAAACCACCAAAGAAACGACCTCAGAAATTAGCACCACCTTGTCCAAATAAGCTAAAAGAGGAAGAAGAGAGTGATCATGGAAGTGATTTAATAGACATGGTTGAAGAAGATGATTTAAATTTTTTAAATAATGCCATATCTAATAAATCTTATAATTTATTGAAACAGATTCGCTTCAATGAGTATGATATTATACTTATTATCTTATAGGTTCTTTTATATACCATATTATATATATATATATGTGTGTATGTGTTTGTATATATATATATATATATATAAAATATATGTCTTTGCTTTTTTATTTTAGAATAGATAAAGATATAAGTGAAAGTAAAAAAAAAAAGATAGAAAATGATCAGCCGTTAGAAGAACTATACGAGAATAATGTCTCAAAAATTGTGGAAGCGACAGGAGGAAAGTCAATTCGCATGTTGCTTCCCATAAAAACACATGATGGTTTTATAAAGAAACGTATTATTGAAGAAGATAACACAATTTTAGATGAAGGAGAAAATGAAGATATAAATAAAAACAAAGGAGAAAATAAAGAAGATGATCAGCAAGAAAATGATGATACTGAAATTGATATGGATACACATGTAAGACTTAAATTATTTTAATATTTCAGAAATCTAACATAGATCAAATATATTATTTATTATTCGGTGATATTATAATACTACTGTAGTATTTATGCGTTATATGTCTGAATGTTTCAGCGCGCAATTATCGGGGGGCTATATATGTGGTATATAAAAATTCACACATACTTATTATTAGCACTTTGATCCAGCTTTGACCGTTATAGGCATTTAATTCCTTGTATATTATTTATTTTGAAATCTTTTTCAGAACAACTTGCAAGTAACTGATAAACCAGTATCTATCGTTGAACTGCTTGCATGTCGTGAAGAGATATTGAAAGCCAAGCGTTTTAAGATAGGTATACTTGCAAGCAGCATATTGGAAAATCCAGAACTCAAGTCTGAAAATTTTAATATATTGCTAAAGATGATGGATAAACAAACATCAGAAGTTTATATCACAATTAGGAAACTGGCAATGGTATCTCTTTTAGAAGTTTTTAAAGATTTACTACCATCATACAGTATCCATGAGATTTCTCAGAAAGAAGTAAAGTGTATGTATACATATATGTGTGTGTGTGTGTGTGTAACAAAGAAAAAAATTATGTGTTCATATACATGATATACACATTATTAATAAATTCTAATTAATTGTATGTTTTCTTTAGTGAAAAAGGATACTCTTGCGCTGCAGAAATATGAAGTTACCTTATTAAAGAATTACAAAAGTTATTTGCAGAGACTTGAAAAGATGATTAAGATTTTGAGAACACACACAAAGAGTGGGAACATACAATCGGTAAATGAACAAGAAATGCAATTGGGCGAAACAGCTGTATCATGTTTGTGCGAACTTCTCACCGTCCATCCATATTTTAATTTCTCCATTAATATAGCTAATTACATTCTTCCTTTATTGGATAACAAACGGAGCAGCGTAAGGGAAAAAGTTGCACAATGTATTTCTCAAATATTTAAAGAAGACAAACGTGGCCAGTTATCTCTCACCGTAAGTTATAATAGGAATTTTATTATTATAATATTTTATATGTTAATACATTTATAATTACGAAGTTATGACATATTTATTGCACTAATAAAATTTCAGATAGTTCGAAAATTAAATCAGTATATCAAGTCGAGGAAACATTCTGTATACTCTGAGATGATAGCTGTGTTACTAGCTCTTCGCATCAAAGACATCAATTTGGACAAGGAAAAGGAGGATGAAATAAAACAAAAGAAACTCATGTCTCACAAAAAAAGAATTCTTGCATTAAGCAGACGGGAAAAGAAAAAGAACAAGAAACTAGAGGAAGTGGAAAAAGAAATGCTTGAAACAAAGGGCGAGGAAAATAAACAAGCAAAGCACAAGATTCTCACGGAAATAACGAGCATAGTATTTACTATATACTTTAGAATTCTAAAACAAGCTCCCAATAGCAAAGTATTATCTGTGTGTTTAGAAGGATTGGCCAAGTAACGTAATTTAGATATTACTTTAGATATTGCTATTTTATGTCTTCTGTTTATGTTTTGCTATAATGTCGCATGTATTACAGATTTGCACACTGTATCAATATAAATTTTTATCAAGATTTAGTAAACGCCATAGATAAATTAATAGAGGAAGGTAATTTGGGATTAAGAGAGCAACTGCACTGTGTTCAATGTATATTTACAATATTATCTGGACAAGCTGTAGCTTTGAATATTGATCCGTACAGGTCTGTGTCTATCATATATGTATATCATAAATGTTATAATTTTTCTCTATTATTTGTATATATTTTATATACGAAAAATTATATAATATATTTTTTTATCGTATAGATTTTATGTGCATTTATATAAAAATATATTGAAAGTTCATTGCGGGAGGACACATTCGGAAACTGAGATCGTACTGCAGATATTGCTGCAAATTCTCATTCATCAGCGAAGGAGAATTACGCAAACCCGTATGGTAGCTTTTGTAAAGAGAATAAGCACGTTGGCATTACAGTCGCAGCATAATGCAACGCTGGGAACTCTTGGTATCATTAAGCAAGTGATGCAGCTTGGGAAAGCGGCTCATGTTTTATTGGACACTGACTGCACTGGTGACGGTCATTATCAAGTCGAAATTGAAGAACCTGATTATTGCAATGCTCACTGTACTGCGTTGTACGAGCTCGTTGCTTTACAGGTACTATCTTAAGTATACTTTTTTGTTTGAAGATAATAGAACAATAGATAACATAATTATTCTTACAGCGTCATTATCATAGTGTAGTACGGCAACTTGCTAAAAATATAACGTATACTACACCTACGAGCGGTGAAGGCAGTTTGACTGCTGAAATTGCGAAATTGTAAGTGTTGATTTCCTTTAATAATTATGATAAATGTATGAGGTTTGTTCTTTTTAGCTGAACTTTTTGCATGGCTTATTTTTTTTTCACATTTGAAAAAAGAAAAGATGAATTATATAGAAAAGTTATCTAAAAATAGCAGACTTACAAATAGTTATATTGAATCTTTCTATATCATCTATTTTATTAATTTTAGATCACCACAGGAGCTCTACACAGAATATGATCCTTCAGGTGTAGCGTTTAAACCTGCTGTGCCTATTCCAAAGAAGAGTACCGTTAAAAAAGCATCGGTGAATTACAGTATGAATCTTGAATTTGAGAAATATGTTAATACTGTCGACATCGATAACTTATTTGCAGACGGACATGTAGATTTCTACGAAGCATGTAAAAATAATTTGTAGCACGTAATAAAGGACTCACTGATCAGAATACAGCCACTATCGCACGCACGGTTCATAGATAAGTGATTATCTAAAGTCTTGGCTATATTCTTATTATTTCATATATGTCTATATACATATATATAAAAAAACATACAAGATTACAATTTTCAAAATAATTTCATAATAAGTCAGCTTATTTCCTTTGTGTAACGTAAAAAACTGAAAGTCTAATTTTAACGGCAACTAATTATAAATTGATTGTTACCAGTGATAAGTCGGGGATTTTTAGTATTTCATCGCGTACCACGCATTTGAAATGTGATAAAATACTAATTGGTTGGATTTCACTCTGTTTTAAATAATTTAAAGTCAAATTGTTATTATATTAATACACAATTTAGTTCTATAAAAAATAATAATGACGACGTTTCTTAAAAATGAGGTGAAAATTCACAAAACCGGACTTTGCGTCGCGATATCTCCGCTCGTAGGGCACATAGAAAAAAAATAAAAGCACTTTTATTATATAATTTAAGCAATGGCTATCGATTGAGCGTATATAGAACTTGATCCGTTCAGCCGTTACTGAGATTGTGATTATCTCAATCCCCCGAAATTCTCAGATTCGCGTAAAGTAACCACGGCAGTGTCGGGCGCGCATGGCTTTTAGCACCGAAACACTACCGTGTGTCTCCAGATATGCTGTGGAATGTAAATGTACATAAAAGTATCAATACTTTAATTAAAAAATAAACTTTATAATAACATTTACAATGATTTTTTTATTTGGAAATTTCAGACGATTAATTCACCCGACAGAATCGCTCAATTCTCTGATTAGCAAAATTTCTAAACTAATTATCGTCGCTAATCTCTCTGTTCACGTGTCAAATAAATTATCAAAGATTAATAATCTACATTAATATTATTCTCAGTTGAAAAAAGTCATCGTACAATCCTAGTTGGATTCAAATCGAACGAACGAGCGTAAACGAAAATGTTTGTTCGCACTCGTCATATGACAGTGTGGGACACAGCTGACAGTGACAGCACAAATTGCCGAACGTAGTCGTTTGTTCTTACTCGGCCATGGGGTCTGTTTTTTGTTCCTGGTTCCTGCACTGTTTGAACTAGTGCACACGGTGCAATAAGTTCGGATTCAAATTTCAGACAGTGTAGAAACAAAATACAGACTTTGGGGTAGACGTGTTTCTTCTCGGGTGTAATTTTTTGGTATTTTTGCGAAGTGGCACCAATTTTGACCTTGTGTTTTTCAATTGCTGAAGAATCAATATATGTAGAAGAAAAAGAACAAGCCGAACATCCTTGATTCCGTCTACAACTTTACATCTGACTTTCGAGTCAGGGTTATGTGTTTTGACATGCTTTGATGTTATCCAGAAGCTAGAAGCACATTGTAATATTCAATATTTCACGCAGGATGATGTCAGAGAGGGATTACGCACCCCTGAGCGCAGCATGCGTGCGCTCTCTCAATGACAAGTTATACGAGAAACGGAAGCCAGCTGCTGTGGAGATAGAGAAGTAAGGTTATTTATACTGTGTACAATTGCATCGCTGAATGTTGTAGAGTCATGTTATCTTTTTCTTCTTTTCTCAAGGTTTCTCTTGACTTTCTTCGAGTTGCAGTTCGGCAATCTTTAAAAGATTTTTTGATTATTATTAGAATTTATTACTACACAAGGAGCTATACTTTGATTATTTATTTCTCATTCTATTATATTTAATTTGATTCTTTAATGCTTTTTTTTTTATTAATCTTTACAGGATGGTGAAAGAATTTGCTGCTCATAACAACACTGTGCAGATCAAGAGGCTGCTGAAAGTTCTTGGGCAGGACTTTGCTACCTCGCAGAATCCACATACACGCAAGGGTGGTTTAATAGGTCTTGCAGCGATTGCAGTCGGTCTCGGAAAGGATACTGGTCAATATATAGAAGACCTGATCCATCCAATTCTAGCATGTTTCAATGATTATGATTTGAGAGTTAGATATTATGCTTGCGAGAGTCTATATAATGTAGTTAAAGTGGCAAGAGGAGCAGTTCTGCCTCAGTTTACAGACATTTTTGCTGCTCTTAGCAAACTGGCCTGCGACACAGAGCAAAATATAAAAAACGCCACTGAATTACTCGACAGATTGATGAAGGTAGCTGAAAAATTCTTTAAAGAAATTCTTAACATTTTACTTGCTTAAGGTATTCAAGTTTTCTTAGTGTGAGACACTGCTGTGCCTCTTGATATCCTAATTGTATAAAATTCGTAAATGTATAGAAGCTATTTATATTTATGCATATTATATTTAGCGTAAATTGTTTCACAAAAATGTTTGCATTTATCTTTATCTAAAGAATATATAGAGTATTATTACATTTTGTATCTTATTTTAGGATATTGTAACGGAAAGTGGCCTCTTTGGTTTAGTCGAATTTATACCTCTGTTGCGTGAGCGTATTTATACAAAGAACCCATTTGGCAGATTGTTTGTAATATCATGGATATCCGTGCTGGACGCGGTGCCCAACATGGACTTAATAATATTTCTACCAGAAATACTTGATGGATTATTTAAGATATTGGAGGATCCAACGCTAGAGATAAAAAAAGTCACGGATACGGTCCTCGGTGAATTTTTACGTAGTATAAAATCCAATCCCGCTAGAGTGGATTTCCCAGCCATGATAAACATACTGATAACACATGCTCAGAGTAGCGACGATCTGCTCCAGTTGACCGCCATTACGTGGATCAAAGAGTTCGTACACTTGTCCGGGCCTCTCATGCTCCCATACATGTCGGGAATTCTTGTAGCCGTTTTACCATGCTTGGCGTATGACGGTGACACGCGTAAAAATATTAAAGAAACAGCAACACAAGTAAATGCGAATTTAATGAAATTAATCGTCCAAAGTACAGAGGTCACAAATAAAGATCAAGAAAATAAGGTGCAGTCTATGAGAGAAAAGAATGGTAATTTCATTAGCATTGTGAGCGACATTTTAAATTGTTTCTATCATGCTATGAGTGTTCTGAATTATTTTAAAGTTTACGATAGAAAATCAAATTTAATCTTTATCATGGAAGAAAAATGCCATTAAGAGCCGGCCACTAGATGTGTTGAAAATTTCTTTATTAATTGAGAGATAGACGTTTCGATCGTGAATACGATCCTTTTTAATATAATTTGTTAATATATAAAAGAAATCTAGTGTACAAGTAGTTAATATCGTTATTTGTTTGTAATATAAATGTTAATTAGTTCTTATGTTTGTGCGGTTTTGCCAGTGTTTTTCATTATTGATTATAATTATCGTGTCAACTATGAAGTTAAAGTTAAAATAAATTATCCAATATCTTGACTTTTTTTCCATTCAAAATCATGCATAAATTTCGGTCTATGAGCAGTAATGACAGAGCCTTCACTTATTTTCGTAATTGTATTTAATCTTTATATAATTTAGAAAATATACATAATAATAATAAAATTTCTTTCTTTTTCATTTTCAGATGTAATAGAAAATTATTCCCTAGATGAAAACTTGGATCTTGCCAGTGTAGTGGAAGTACTTACGAAACACTTGCTGTGTCTATCGGTCCAAACTAAAGTTGCAGTTTTAAAATGGATACACCATTTATTCATAAATATTCCGCAAAAAATGTTTAATCATATTGAGGATTTGTTTCCAATATTAATGAAATCCTTAAGTGACAGTTCTGATGAGGTGGTGCAACAGACTTTAGTGGTAATGGCTGAGATCATCAGCTCGAAATCTCCGGAGGCGATAGTAACCAGTCCTGATGAGAAGATACAGAACAAGTATTTTACAAAGTTTATAGTCAATTTATTAAGGATCTTCTCGACTGATAGACATTTGTTAGAAGAACGGTGCGCTTTTATTATAAGAGAACTGTGCGTGCTTCTGAGTGCAGAAGATATATACAAGACACTGGCAAAGATACTGCTGGAAGAGCAAAATTTAAGTTTTGCCTGTACTATGATACAAACTCTGAATGTTATCTTATTAACCAGTTCAGAGTTATTTGATTTGCGCAACAAACTTAGGCATTTGGATTCTCCAGTAAGTCGCTATGTATTCAACTTGTGAAATTTTATTATAAAGGGATTAAAATTGACATGTCAAACTTAATAATGTACAGACAACATGCATGTTAATGAATTTAAATCAAAGACATTTTAAAAACATCTTAAAAACGTTTTAAAATGTCGTACTTCTTGATTTTAAATATATGTGTTAAGCATTTTTAAAAACTTTTGACCAAAGTTATTTCATTTTGCGATATATAAACTGAATATATTCATGAATTGAAATTTTTCAGGACAGTTGCGCGTTATTTGAGTGCCTGTATGTGTCCTGGTGTCATAATCCGGTTGCAACTGTGGCCTTATGTCTTCTATCTCAACATTACCGACATGCATGCAACATAATTCGATCTTTGTATCCTTTTATCCATTCTTTTTCTGTCTATTTGCTTCCATTATCTCAACGAACATTTTTCATACCTTAACGTTTATATATATTAGCGAAAACATAGAGGTCACAGTAGAGTTTCTAACGGAAATAGATAAATTGGTACAATTAATAGAATCACCGATATTTACTTGTGAGTATGCAGCATCATGTTACTAACAAAAACGTTATAAGTGTTATATTTTTTTCTTTTCATTTAAGATCTAAGGCTGCAGCTGTTGGAATGGGAGAAGAATGATGCTTTGATATACGCGTTATATGGCTTGCTTATGATCTTGCCACAGAGTGATGCCTATGCTACTTTACAACGTCGTTTAGCAGCGATACCTCCAGCTACGAAGCCGATACCTAAAAGCGAACAGGAGGAAATAAATGTTGATTGCCCGTTCGATTTCAACAAGCTGTTGAAACATTTCCATACAGTACAAGAGCATCACAAGGAACAGAAGCGCAAGCAAAGACTGAATTCCTTAGTTGAAAGAAATACTAGTCATGTAGATGTATGAATTACGCGTTTGTTTTTATGCGCGAAAATTCGTAAGCACCGATTTTTATAATATAATACATATAAAAGAAAAAACATTCCTGATTTGCTGAACTTTTCGTTGCATAATTGTATGTAAAACTTGTGTTTAGCTTTATATATTGTATAAAAATATAATTATTTATTGAAACATAATCATTGGACTCGTTAGAAATAAACGGTCAAATCGTTGATATTAAATAAAATAAATACATATGTATAGTCGTTTAACCAAAGAGAATAGAAATACAAATTCATTCACGTTTATCTTAACAATAGACTAATAATTTTATACATAAATATATCAAGTTTCTAATATATATATACACATTTTAAATTTCAGTCTTTATCTCATATAGATATTAGCCGCGCGCGCACGTTTCTATATACTAGTACTAAAGGTTTATAGCGTACATAATGTAAACTATACTCTCTAAAACTTTTAAAAGTAAATCTCATTTTCAAAGAATGAAAATTGAGTCAATTTTTTTAAACTGACTCAATTTTCACTGTTTAAAATTTACATTTTAATTTTTTGGAGTTAAATCACTTTTACTCCAAAAAATTTAGAGAGTAAATTTTCAGTACTTTTTTACATTGTACATTGAAACACAGTCATTGTCCAATTATTAATAATATAGGAAAACTAAAGTAACGCATATTAAAGTTCATATCCCGTATCATCTACGTTATCCAGCCTATCAATCGCTGATAAATGATCAAGCTGGTCTATGAGCAAACCGTTTTCATAAAGAAGCATTGTAATTTGTTCTTGTGTGTCGCAGATGTTGCGCCATTTCTTTGTGCTCTCCTGCACTGGCACACTTGTTTTTTCAATTGTTTTCGATTTGCCGGGAAGTCTGTCTAACGAATGCATTAAATTTTCATTACGCTCCTTACTCTCCTGTGATAAACGATAGGAAAATGATTCCAGTACGCGTTCATAAGTGTCTATGTCCTTGTCTAATATCTGAGTCTGCAGAAACACTGTTTGTGCCATTTTGTACCAATCGGCGACGCACTCAGATCGTTGTGTCATTGCTGGTATACATTCCGTCTCGAGAAGCGCTTTTAATCGACGCCCCGTTTCCGTGACCTGTTCAACAAAAGTTGTGATAAGTTTCACGAAAAATAATTTTTGCAAGTTTTCTGATTTCTTGATTTGTAATAACAAATTGGAAAATTCAATATGTAAATTTACATACTTTTATGCGCTCAAGAACGTGGAATTGCTCGTCATTGTAAGTAAGACTACGAGTGGCCCTGTCCCTCAGCAAATGTTGCCATCCATCTCTCAAGCGATCGACTAATGTCGCTGCTCTCTGGCTCGCTTTTGTGGTCCACGGACACCACAAACCGCGAGTACTGTTGTCCCATTCCCCATGTAAGTTGCCCTCTTTTACATATCTACAATAGTATAATAAGTTTGTTTTTTATTGCTGCACTACAACTTTCCTTCTCACTTTCACCAAATTTTAAACGTATACTTATTTCTTTAAATACACAGAGTATTTTTAAAATAAAATCGGTAGCTCAATGGCAAGTATAAATATATTAAATATAAGATCAACACTAATTATTAAATTAAGTTATGAAAAAACAAGTCTTATATTTATATATATATATATATATATCGATTATACTTTACAAGGCTATATAGAGAATTGAATGCTTAAATAGGGAAGAAATCGATTTTTGTATTTTTTAAACGTAGCTGTTGTATGTATTGTGTCTTTTAAGATTTACCTCTGATGAAGTTGCACTATTGCTGGAGTCAGTTCACTCATAAGTTCCTTGCTCTTCATGTCCAATTCCTTCCGCCAGCTTTTGACCTCCACTGCAGTTTGACCGCCGAACTTTCTGAACACGTGTCTGGCGAACGTCTCACTCCTCTCTACTGCCAATACAGTATCCTCCACTGCTTTCGTGAATTCTTTCGAATGCTGACATTTCCCCAGCACTCTAGTAAGCTCTGTAGACAGAAGACCGCTAAACGTGTTTATGGCGTCCCGCGATAATTTGCTGCACAAGGCCAGTTTGTCGATTCTACGTTTACAAACATGTCCTACGGAGCATGCGACCTTAGCTTGGCTTGCGTCGTTCTCTACGGAAACAAGATTCGCGAAAACGGGAAATTTGGGCAGTTCAGTCTCCGTCGGCAACACGACGTTATTATTCTCTCGTGAAAATAACATCAATGGTTTGTCGTTACTAGTATTGGGATATCCCTTGCCTGGTGTAGATTCTTCGACGAGATTTGTGAGAGGAATTTCTCCAAGTAGAAGAATCTGCGCGTGTGGCATGATCTCGGTCTGATCCTGAATGTGTATCTGCAGAGCGACTAGTTTCTCTTCCGGATGTAGAAAGACCTTAATTAAACTAGCTTTATGAATGTTAAATATATGAATGGGTTTCCTGCAAAGCGTGTCCGTGACCTCGCTGAAGAATCGCTCGAAGCTCCAGATTCTTTGCGGATCCACCTCCAGCAAGCCGGCCAACAGCGGAGTCACTATCTTCTTCAGACCTGTGCTCAGCTGGCAGGCCTGCGGCAATTCTCTGCTCCATTCGATCGGTCCATTCTCTGAAGTCTGCAGCCCGGATATCACGCCTGATGCCTTCTTTGTGGTGATGTAGAACATGGTCTCTTTATTCCTTCGCCCGCCGAACGGCCTAAACGGTAGATTACCCGTCGCGACATGATAGAGAGTCACGCCTATGGACCATAAATCAACGGTTGCTCCAAAGGTCTTGCCGACGGGTTTCCTCAGGACTGCACGTTCGTACATATCCGGATGCAGATATTCTTCTGTGCCATACAGCGAAACAAATTGTTGATCCTCTTGCAATTCCCGAGCGGCCCCGAAATCAGTAAGCTTGTATATCGTACTGCCATCGTCAGCGATGAATTTCATTATATTACCTATGAGAAGAAACAGAAGATGACTGAAGAACTCCAAATACACAACACATATTTGTGAATTGTTGAAAATATAAGTAAACCAAGTCGTCCTAATTCTAAATAAAATTAAATGGAAAATTGTTTTGTAATAGAGAAAAGCACAACTGATTTAAAATAATAATGGCTGTATTCAGCAGAATGTTTATTTTGCAACTGTTGAAAGTTTTTTCTAGATTACTCATTAGATTATACTTTTAGAGCAAGAGCACATGATAGACAAAGAGTGCTTTCCATTTTTTGAGACAAATTGTCACAAGCATCATTCTATTTTTCTTGACATTCAATGAGCAACAAAGATAGAATAATACTTGTTATCAACAGTATCTCCTAAAATAGAAGGATCTTTCCTGGCATTCCATGAATAACAAGAATAAAACGATATGTTGATTACTAAGTGTGTAGATTCTCCTAAAAAGAAAGCAGCCTATATGTGTGTATATTATCCTGGACTTCTACCTGGCTTTAAGTCCCGATGAACCAAATTGTTGTCGCGCAGATGTTTCATGCCAGCCGATAGATGTTCCAACACCAGCAGGAACTCACTCTCTGCGAGACCATATGTATTCTCCGGATCGTCCAGGATGTTGAAGAGACTGCCGCCGGTACAGAGCTCCATGACGATTACCTTTCCTCTGCCATCCTGCTCCTCCTCAATCGCTAGCAGCTTAACGATATTCTCATGCTTGACCTTTTTCAGGACCTCGAACTCTCTCACCTGTACGTCATGTGGCCGCATATGGCTCAGCTGATTGAAAGTCTTCACCGCGACTGGTTCCCCGTTGTTTTTATTAACACCCTGAAACACCGCGCCGGTCGCGCCCTTGCCAAGCACGCTGGTGGTGCACCAGACATAGTTAGCAGATCCACGAAGGAAGGACATGTCATCCACGTGAGACTTCTCCTGGACAAACCTGGCTTTCGACACTTATCCGTTTCTCCGTTCACGTTGCGCGATCCTCTCGTGACGTCATAAACGTCATCTTCCGTGTTTCTACATGTCGATAAACACTGGTTGACGTATCTCTAATAGGCTGATCTCTGAGAAGCATCCTGGGCTAGAATGTAAGGGTAGTAGCGTATTCGTGAATATAGCGAGTGAAGATGTAGATTTAAGTGTTAAAGGATAGCATTTAGAGTGACACATTTATAAGCGGAACGAGCAACTTAACCTATACAGAAAATCTATTTATGTCAACATTAAAGATTTGTTCGAAAATTTTTGCACTTAAAAGGAAATAATATATATTCGGACGTTGAACAGAGAGAAAGCGAGGATGCTAAGTGCAAAAAGTACAAGCAATGCGAACAAACCCTATTGGCAGTTCTGGACGGTTCTGGACTCCTCCGAAGTTTCGCACTTTTACCGCTCGAGGTCTTCGTGACTGACTCCGAGAGTTGATCCGTCACTCCCGTCGAAGAGAGTAGAAAAGGAAGGGAGATTCGAGATAGCGAAGAGAACGAGAAATTGACCGAAACAAACCCGGCAAACCGCTTCTTTTCACCATGGAGTTAACGGAGTTGATGAAACACCTGGATAAGATCAATATTCCGCGTAAGGGCGACAGGATATACAAGGACGAGTGCGTTTACTCCTTCGACACGCCAGTAAGATTATCCCTCGTCCTTTGTTCCCCTTGCCGACGACACCCCCAGCAAAACTGTCGGGCGCGATCGTTATCAGTTGAAAAAAAATTTCTTTTTTGTTCAAGGATACAGCCACCGGCCTCTACGTCAGCCTCACCACCTTTTTGGGCCTTGGACGAGAACACGTCACTAGGTACTATGAGACCACCGGCAATCCTGTCTACCTTCATATTAAACGTATTAAGAAAGAGGTAATTTTTGTTTGTCTAGCATAAATTCATGAAACCTGTTCTTAGTTGAAATTCTTTTTCACAATTTCTCTGTTTTTATACATTGAAGAGAAAAATAAACTAAAAAGATTCAGCTAAGTAAAAAGAATAGATTTATTATCTTGTTAAAGAAATCTTGACCTCTAAGCTTGTTCTTTATTTGCACTTCTTGCATGGTTCATGTTTTTTTCCCTTTTCATATTAGAGAAAAAAAAAAGAGAAAATATGTATTGTATACACACATTATATTCCAGTTAATAAGAACAGGCTTTTTCTTCTGTAACAAACTATAGAAATAAAATTTTGGCCAATAAGATTATGAGAGTCAAAACATAGTTATTTGTGCATAATTATAAAAACTTTCTTCTTTAGTTGGAGACTGATACAATATATACCATTCATTCTCGAACTACTATGTATATATTATATATATATATATATATATGGTATAGTAGTTCAAGAAAAATTTTCAATACCAAGTTATATTGTCAATAATTATACACTAATCCTATCAATCACATCATTATTTAAATTATGTAGTTATGTTTATGTTTAAACAAAGCTTAATTTTTTTTGTAAATAAAAATAATTGAAAAACTCTACACATTGATAAGAGAGATTAGATATATTATTTTTATCTAACTTTTCACACATCTGATTTAAAAAATGTGTAAATTTTTTCATAGATTTCATCTGAGGAACAGGGAGATGGACCTGAAAAGAAAATTACACGATTAGCGATAGGCACAGTTGGTGGATTCATGCCCGATCAACAGAAGTATGTCTATGAAGAGACACATCAGATAGTTGTTCTACCTGATTTCCTTACTATTGCTTATCCTGCGAGCGATTTACCTGAAAAGGTAGGATTTTTTGCGAGATTGTATATTAGAGATCCTATCTCAAACTCTGGCCACAAGCGATTTCATAAAAACAAGAATGAAAAAAGAAGGTCTATATGCCTCTTTTTATATGCTATTTTATTCTAACTTATCGTTCTAACTTACTGAGGTCAACAAAAATAATAATCAAAAGTTTAACATCTTGTAGCCAAACTGTTATTTCTATTGCATACAATTGAGATTCTCTGTTGTGTATAATTGATAATACACAATTTTTTGACAAAAAAATATTATGCACAGGTCTAAACAAAAGAACTATTATTTCGGAAACGGTGACAGGTATAATAAAATGTTATTGTTAAAATATGACACAGGACTATTCCTTTCAAGAAGACTTGTAAGAAAGGTCTTAGATGTCCTGAGCATCTAAGTCTTATCTGTCACCATTAGAACATGATCTTGACATTTAAATAACTTTTTTTGTTAGAGTTAAAATATATAATACTATCGACAGGTGGAACATGCAGTTAAGACTATATTACAAATGGAAGGAGCATGGGCGGTAGCACAAGTAGAAGCCGTAGCTAGCATGTGGGATGGAGAAGTCAGAGTGGAGTCAAAGTAAGTCCCTCGAAAAGTTTATCATGGAATTTATTAATATTACAGGATGATTTTAATATACAATTAATTGCACGAAAATAAGAATGTGTAAATAAAGTTTGTTGAACATTTCAGATATGCCGCAACTCTGAAGCAACTGGACAACGGCAAGAAGATTCCGCCGAGTGGTTGGAAATGTGAGAAATGCGATCTCACACAGAATCTGTGGCTTAATTTGACCGACGGTAGTGTACTCTGTGGTCGTAAGTTCTACGATGGAAGTGGCGGTAATGGTCACGCAGAGGAACATTATCGTGCAACTGGTTATCCTTTAGCCGTGAAGTTAGGTACGATCACAAAGGGCGGTAAAGCCGACGTGTATTCGTACGATGAGGACGACATGGTAGATGATCCAAACTTGGCAGTGCATCTGTCACACTGGGGCATCAACATCGCACAGATGGAGAAAACAGACAAGTCTATGATCGAACTAGAATTAGATCTAAATCAAAAATTTGGCGAATGGGTATCTCTTCAAGAAGCAGCCAGCAAATTGACACCATTGTATGGCCCTGGTTACACTGGGCTGACTAATCTGGGAAATTCCTGTTACCTCAACAGCGTCATGCAAATGCTGTTTATTATTCCCGATTTTGTTAAAAGGTGCGTAAATTTGTCGATAAGACGTTTTTATTTTCCACGAATGATTTTTGCTTTGACCATACACGGACTGACAGAGTCTCTCTGATAAAAGGAATATTATAGGATCGACGTCCAGTAATTGCCAGTAAATTTCAGATATGTGGAGAGAGCGCCAACAATATTCGCTAATAATCACAACGATCCGGCGTCGGACATTAATATTCAAATGTGAGTTATGAGATGATACTTGATAAAGTAGTATTTAGCAATCGTTTAAAATTTTGAAGTATAATTCAACAAATCTTTGTTTCTCCAGGGCGAAATTGGGTATTGGATTACTCTCTGGTAAATACTCGGATCAACCGAGCAAATCTAGCACGGACGACGAGTCGCGGCAGGGTATTCCACCGCGAATGTTTAAGGTCCTGATCGGTCGCGGACACGCCGGCTTCTTCTCGAATCGACAACAAGATGCTCAAGAATTTCTTCTTTACCTGATTAATTTACTCAGTGTAATTATTATTTTTTAATCTTTATTAAATTAAATTGCCGAAGATTTTAATTGGGAAATTGATTAAATAGCGCAACAATCGACACGAGGTGTGCCCCACGGAATGCTTTAAATTTAAAGTTGAGGAAAGATACCAGTGTGGCAAATCCAACAAGGTCAAATATACCAATCGACCGGAATATATCCTACCATTGCCAATACCGTTAGAAACGGCAGTGAATAAGGTGTGTACATTTAATAATCTCGGAAAATAATGCCTTTGCTATATACTAAAATTAATTAAGTGATGTATCCAGGACGAGATAGCTGCATACGAGGCTCAGAAGAAGGAAGCTGAAGCGAAAGGGCAAAAGCTAGATGCCAATAATCCTGTGAGACCTCGTATAAAATTGTCGTCATGTCTCGAAAGTTTCAGTCGCATGGAAATTGTGGAACAGTTTTACAGTTCAGCATTAAACGAGAAAACGATAGCACACAAGTAAGTATTATCATTGATTAACTAGTGATATCATTGTTCTATTTACTTGATAATTTATTTGTATTAGACGTTTAGTAGAAGTCAACAATATTATAATTTATTTTATATCTTTGAGATCCATTTTATAATCGTAAAAATATCGACCAGATTCGATTTTTCAGCTAATTCTTTTTACGTTATTATTTCTTTAGAACTACTAGACTAGCCAGCTTTCCAGATTATTTGCTGATCCATCTAAAGAAATTCACGGTGAAAGAAGATTGGACACCTATCAAGTTAGACGTGGCGATACAGATGCCGGATACGGTAGATCTGAGTTTCTTACGCGGAAACGGTTTGCAGCCTGGCGAGGAACTGTTACCGGATGGTGCGCCGCCAGCGCCCGTTTATGACGCGAACCTTTTAAAGGATTTGATGGACATGGGTTTTCCACCAAATGCGTGCAAACGAGCTCTATATTTTACGGAGAACCGTGACCTCGAGGCCGCAACCAATTGGGTGATGGAACACATTGCAGATTCCGACTTTGATGAGCCATTCGTGCCACCGGGAGTCGACATTAAGTCTAGTAAATCGATTCGCTTTAGCATTGACTCATAACTAATCAATCGATTTTACTTATTTTATTATTGATTTAGGCGAGGATACGTTTGTGCCAGATCAAGCTGCTTTGGAAATGGTAATGGGCATGGGCTTTACGCGAGAGCAAGCGACGAAAGCACTTAAAGCGACTAACAACAATCTAGAGCGCGCAGCTGATTGGATTTTCAGTCATCAGGCCGAGCTTGATGCTCCGGAAATAGAGAGTAACGCGGCGCCAGCGAAGGAATCGTTCAGAGACGGAAATAGTCGTAAGTTAATTAAGTTATCTATCTTTCAAACTGCGTATTGTAATAACAATGATTCGAAAGAAAATATTCGGTTTATTATAAACAATATAAAAACAATATGCTAAAACGAATAAAAATGAAATTAAAGTATTTAGAATGTAATCGGATTATTATCATGTTTTATAAAACTTTGATTTACATTTATATTGTGATGAGAGAAATTGATCGAATTTACTTTTTTAATGGTTTCATAATCACTTCTTTGTTTTAGGATATAAACTAGTAGGTTTTATATCGCATATGGGTACATCGACTATGGTAGGTCATTACGTTTGTCACTTACTGAAGGAAGATCGATGGGTGATATTTAATGACGAAAAAGTACGTCAATTAGTTCTGGATGATATTTGAATTCTATTTTGATAGGATTACCATTTTCGAAAATTTTGGTGTTTTTCTTTTCTTATGAATTTATCATTGCAGGTTGCTTTATCGGAAAACCCACCGAAAGAGTTAGGATACATTTACATGTATCAACGGATCGACTAGTGTAACTGCTGTTTTGTAAAAAGATGTTGCTTTTCAACAATAAAAAAATAATACAAACACTTTTTTTTACATATGTACATTGAAAGTATATCAACGTGATAATGTGTCAGATAATATGACTAGTTTTTATTAGGAACAGTACAAGAAAACTATAATATTACAAGAAAAAGTAAGGAAATATACAAAGATTACAAGATGAAAATCCCACTTTATTTTCTAACAATGGCACATTCTCCAATGTGTTTTAAAGCGCTTTATGATTACAATTGCAGATGGAAATAAAGTACAATGTTCTACGAATATACATGAATTAAAAAAAAGCAAACTATTTTGTTTTTAATGAATATTACATAAATGCATAAGTACCGAAGAAACTCTATGGCAATGTATAACAACTTCCTCAGCCTGTTAATTGAAGTAACGTTGATAATCATAAAATAATATATATGTATTTTGATTAAGCTTGATCGTACGGATATATTTCCTATACAGTCTCTCTAAATCTAAGTACACAGAAGATCCAAAACCTTTCTTCGAAAAAAACGCAATTAATTTTCGTTTTATTTTGTGTCAAGTTCAGCAGGCACTATAGGTGTACATATATATTTTGTCGCATTATTTTCGTAGTTTTATATATACAGGGTGTTCATTTGAAAACTTTCCAGCTGATTATCTCTTAAAATAGTGATCGAACAAAAAATGTTTCCTACAAAAGTTACTTATTTTTTTACGTAGAATAAGATCCTGTAATAAAAAATATATATTTCCATTTAAAAAAACAAATTTGACCTTCAAATTACGTTGAAAATGTCCTCCGAAAATAAAAAATTGAGAGTGTCGTTCTTTTTCTCCCTCGAAATCATGGAACACATGTTTTAACTTTTTTTTATATCTTTTATATTTTTCGAGATAATCAGCTGGAAAGTTTTCAAATGAATACCCTGTATATATTTGTGTGTGTGCTTTATCGTACTACTTTTTTGCTTTTTTACAAATTTATATATGTAAAAGTCTAAAAAATATTTCAATCTGGTAATAAGTATGGAAGGCCACAAGCACAGCTGCTTACAGTACAATTGCGGTTAATGAGAAACGTTCCGTATATCGTTACATGATAGTAACATTTTCCTCTGAGATAAATAGAAAAAGACAAATCGATAACTTTCTATGAATAACATTTAAGTTATCTCATATAAATCACCGCTGCATTCACTGTTGTATTTCGGTAAAATTCGTAGATTTCACATCCTCTTTTGCACAGACTATAATATCAATATTATATAAAAATCTGATCTCTTTCTTACATCGCGCATTATATTATATAAGCTAACAATATTTATAATACATTATAGAGTATTTACAGAAAAATGCGTTGTGTGCGCAATACTCGATGGAATATATCGCGTACGCAAAAATTTTATTAAATTTCTTGTACGCTTTAATACCATGCAAGTGACTTTTACATATTATATGTATGTAATTAACTTGTACTGCACCATCTTTTCTTTTTATACATACTCTTGACATAAATGTCTATTATGCAGGCACTACAATTGACATTTTAAATTTTTTATTAAAAAAAAAATATTAAAAATATTTTTTCACTGAAACCATCAAAACGTACGACAAATAGATTTAAAGTTATAATGAGAAGTCAGAAGTTATAATGTTTATGACATCATAACACACACAGTGTTCAAAATAATTAATAAATTTTTTAACATGTGATAATTCTTGTTAACGTTCTTGTCAAAATTATTTTTGCGGAAAAAACCTACATTTAAATTTTCGGCTATATGTCTGCAATAATATATATGTCAATGCCTATAATAATATAATATGCATCGTAATATATTATAATTAACCAGAACTTGAAAACATCACACTTTGATTACGTAATAGATACTGATCGGACTTTCGTCATAAATGTCAAAATAAAATTGCATTGACATTTGTCACAACATGGTTAATACTGCATGAAAAATATATGCAAAATAATCGATTTAACCAAATTGAAAAGAACTTTCAAATCGAATACTGAACATTATTTTACGGAATCGCTAACTGGCTTTCCGTAGAATAATTGCACAGTAGCACACATTTTTAATAATATACTGTTTGACAACGGTACATTATCAAAAAATATACTCAATATATATTTTTATGATACAGTCTCGAGTAAGTCATCACTTTATAACTATAACCAGTATGTATCTATTGTCTTTTATTAATACCATCGATGATGTCCACCGACGGTGGAATGGCATAAATGATTTGATTACCGTCCTTCTTGAATGTGGGCTCTATCACATCGGGCGATACCTCAATATATAACAATTTACTCTTGTTGCCTAGCATGCACTTGAACTTTACGTCCACTGTGACGTGCAAATCGGTGCCACGCAATCTATCCAAGAAAAAAAATAGATTTTATTGCCAAATTCTTTTAAATAAAATTACAATTATTAAATATATTCCCCC